ATGCTCTGTGTCCTGATGCGGATGGTTCGCTGGCGTGGGCACCGGGAGGAGGATCTCCCGTAGGATGCTCCGGTCGCTTTGTCCTTACTGGTGCATGGTGTGAGCTCCAGACTGAAGGATGCTCTGAGGAAGATCGTTTTGGAAAGGAACTCAAGCAGGAATAGTGCCGTGTCCCACTGACTGGTGTGGCTTGGTCCCCAGGGGCTTCCCCCATTGGTGATGCTCATGATTCCTGGTTCTCCGAGCGAGATGACCCAGCTTTTGGGGAGAAGAGCCGTGCCGTGGTCATTCTTGCGTGATTTCTGTGCAGCAGCAAATGAGCGTGGCCAGGGCAGCGAGGGCACAGTGGCAGGTAGGTGAGGACTGCTGCAGGGTGAAGGTCTGTGCACCCGGAGCTTGGTTCTTCCCAAAGAAGTTGCTGGGAGTGAGATGAAAGTAGGAGATGAAAGTGCCCAGAGGTGAGATCCCATTAAAGCGGTGCCCAGGCTTAGCCAGTCCTTGGTTTCTTAAATCTCTTCTAATTTACAGTAATGCTCTAGATTCGTTTCAGCTCCTCCAGACTTGTATTTTAATCCCCTTTCCACATTTCCATGTGTTTATGTGTTAATTAAAGGGTAAAAAGCCACTCTCGGAGCAATCCCGGCTGCTGCTTCTCTTCAAGCCAAAGCCTTTTAAGATTAGCCAGCCACTTCCTAAAGCCTCACGGTGCTGGATCCGGATGGGCAGGTTGCTCAACTTTCCGTAGCTCGGAGCAGATCCGGTGCCTGGGCTCAAGCCTCCCCAAGTCCCACTCGTGCAGAGGAGCATCCCACAGGACTTCCAACAGCTTTGAGGGATTTGCTTGGTCCGTGCTCCTCCATCATCTGCTGGTACTTGCAGGAGAGGCTGCCAGAGGGAGAGCCCTCACGGTGATGCAAGGCAGCCCACAGCTCCCCTCCAGGTCCTGGCAGGGCTGGAGCTGGGAAGGGAGGGTCTGGAAAACTGCTTTGGAAGTGGGATGTAGTGGGAAGGGTGGAAAAAGCCTCCGGAGCATCACTGTAGCAGGCGGCTCGAACATGTATGCTGTCACCTTTGCTGTCCCTTGCAAACTGGATCAATATTGAGAACTTGCTCAGCTCGGGATGTGGGGTGGGAAGCGTTTTCCCGCTGGTGTTTCCCACTGTTCATCCTCATCCCTCCCGGGTGCCTTTGAGCTCTTTGGGTTTGGATGCGGGGAAGCCGAGGCTGAGGGGCACACAGCGCTATTGGCACAGGGATGGGGGCTTCAGGACAGGGATCTGCTGGCAGCAGGAGGAGGTGCCCGTGATGCCATGTCTGTACGTGGTCCTGTGAAGGGCAGCCCAAAGTTACAGAGCCCCAAAGGACCAGGGTATTGAGGGTAGTTAAAAATAGGAGAAGCTGCTGAAATAGGTGCTCAGCGACTGCTGCTTAGGAGCTCATGGGCTCGGCTGTACCTGTTTCTATGGGTCCCAGGGGCTGAAAAGCTCTATTCAATATTCCCGTCTGTGGAGGTGAATCAGGTGGAGAAGCGGCATCACTCCAATGGGGCTGGATGCTCCAAGATCCCTCAGGAGCTTTTGGGGAGAGATCACTCTGTGAATGCTTCGTCTGCTGTTCCTGCTCCTGAAGTCCCCGTGTTCTTGCGTGCAAATCTGTGCTTTTGAGTCCGCCAGCTCTCTTGCCTCTGTGCTCATCCTGCTCCTTCTACTCAGCTTGGAAAGGCTCCGTGGCGATGCTGGGCTCTGTGGCATGGCACACACGTGGTGCTCCCATGGGACATGGGGAGCATGGCACAGGCGTGTTGGGCACATGTGCATGCCACGTCCAACAGCCCAAGGAGCTGATCTGCCCCCCCCTCCCTGGCAGGGAAGCTCTGGGTATCCATCAGCCTGTTAATTGTGCTAATTAGAGAGTGTGGAGGTGTTAATTGGCAATCCCTGGTATCTGCCTGTTTGCGGCGGGGAGGGGGTGTCAATAAAACTGGATTGATGGCTTGGCGTGGCGCATGCACTTCGCAGGTTAGCAGCGAGTCAGGGGTGTCAGGGAAATGTGACTGCTCAGACGAAGCAATTGTTAATTAAAAAGCAACAGTAATTAATATCCACTCATTGCCATATGGTACTGCTAAAGGTTGGGGGATTCTTTACTCTCCTCGTAGTTCTGTTTCCCTTTCTTTGTCCTGTGAAAGGTGCACGTTTAAGGGAAAGGTGGGGGGGAAGGCAGAGCGCTTACTCCGTGGGGTGGTTTGGAGCCCGAGATGGGGATTAGCAATCCATTTGTGCAGCCTCTGTGGTTCCCCATTAGAGGGGTCTCCTCCCCTCCCCTCTTAAGTAAAACCACCCTTTTCTGCTTCATGTGACTGTCTGGTCAGGGTCCCTGCCTTAATGCCTTGGGAAGGTCTGATCCTGATTAGACCCTCTGGATACGAGCGTATGGAGAATCCCTGAAACACTGGCTGTGTTTAAACTAGAACAGATGAAAAGCAGGAGCCGGGATGCTGCGGCTTGTCCCATCTGTGCACAGGGATGCTCGAGTCGTGCAGCCGGGTTTTGCTCTTTCCAACGCGGCTTCAATTATCCCAGCTCGGTCCTGGCTGGAAAAGCGCTTGTTCCCGATTTAAGCCGCGTTCAGAGCGTTGCAGACCCTGGCTTCGCTCTTTTGCTGTAAGGTTTTGTAAAACTTTTATATGAATGGAAATATTTTCATTATTATTATGACTTTCTTTTATGACTTCCCTTGCAGCGCTGGGAGCGCAGACACCAGCGTCCCGCAGGCTTTGCGAACGGGAAGTCGAGTTTTACTAGACTTGGAAAGGGAACCCCTGGCCTGGTGTCCTGGGAATCGCCCGGCCGGACCCCAGCGCGGCTCATCGGCTCCGGCATCCCGCCTCTGGCCGGGCTGGGGATGACAGAGCGAGCCCATGGTCACAGCTCCTCCACCAGAAGAGATTTCCTCCTAATTCCCAGTAGTTACGCTTCAGTTTGTGCCCCGAAGCCAGGAAAGTTTTATATCCTTTCCAAAACCTTTTTTTTCCCCCTTTCTTTCCCTTTTTTAATACTTCCTGTTGTAACTCTGGATATTCTTGTTCTCCATATAAAAGTCAAATCGCTTTTTGAATCCCGCTGAGTTTCTGGCCGGGGCCGTGCCTTGTGACTGCCGGGCAGGGGCAGAGCCGGGCTTTCCCGGTGAGGCCGCTCGCCTGCTCCAAACAGTAGGAAAAGGGGGAAAGAAACAGGAATAGTTCAGTATCCCTGCAGGCTCTTGTTTGATTTGGGCAGGGGGAAAGGTGCTTTCTTCCAGGTTCTTTTGCTCCTAATATCAGTGAGCATCCCCATCCTTTCCTGGTCCTTTCTCGGGAAGCTGCTCCAACCTCGCCGTGCTCCGGCACAACCAGAGCCCAGTAATCCCGTTACCAAGCCGCCCCACTTGGGTTTGGTAGCACCAGGCCTAGCGGGAGGGAGCCGGCAGCTCCACATGGGAATTAATGTCAGTCATATACCCTGCGGAAATGACTTTTGAAATGCATATAATCTCCAACATGCAAATGAGAAGCTTGCTTCACCCTGTTTAATATGAATGATCAGCTTCTGAATAGCTATTATTACACGCCACATTTCAGCAATTATGTTGTTCGCAGTTTGTCTTTCTGTCTTTTGGGGCGGGGAGGGGGAAGACGGGGGAAAAAAGAGAAGAAAAAGGCAGAGAAACAGTATTTCTTCTCCCATCCCTCTTTCTTTATTCCCCTCCTGTTCCAAACTCACCAGCCAGCTGCGAACGGCGGCTGCCGATCCCACTCCAGCACCCGCTTAACGGGGAAGGAGATGGATTGAATGAGATCAAACTGTATCCTGTGCTGTTCCACAGAGCAGAATGTGTGTTGGGAAGGAGGGAGAGACCCCCTGCCCTGGCAGGGCTCCCTGTGAGCCACGGGTGTCGGGGCTGGATGTGGCCTCCAGGGCTCGGTGGCTGGGGTTGGTGCTGGATGCTCTGGTTGTTTCCTCCAGTGTTAGCCCGGATCTGGGAGCTTCTCCCAGGAAAGGGGCTGCTCAGGTTCCCAGCTGACAGGCTGCCTGCTGACCAGCCTAGCAGTGCAGGGACTCTCCATGTCATCGCCTTGAAGCCAGGATCCCAGCTCTCCTGCAGCCAGACGCACATTGGGGTGCAAGCGGCTTTCCCAGCCCGCAGCTCTCCCGGTGCCGATGCTTCCCTCGGGCTCCATGTTGTGCCTCAGGAGCTCTGTTGGTTGAGCTGAAGCTCCAGCCCTGAGGCTGCTGCCAGCATCCCATGGTGCTGCAAGTGTTGTGCTGCTGCCTGGTGAGAGGGAAGCCTGGAATTGTATGCAGTGAGGTGCAAGAGCAGCCACATGCAGTGAAGCGCCCAGCTCAGTCCTTTGATGGTACCCAAGGGGTGCATAGAGGTGCCAGGGATGCAGGCAGGATTTTCCAATGGGTGTTTCCTGGAGCACCTCACACTTTCATTCTGCCATGTCCCAGTTCCATTTGGGTACCCTTTGGGTTTCCTCATCTTGCTGGCAAACTTCATGCCAGGGAAGTGCTGGTTTGCTGGGAGCTGGTTTGTGGAAACGTGTGCTGGGATGCTGATGGTGAAATGCATGGCCCGGCTCCACGTGCCTGGGGAGCAGCCTCACTGTCTCCAACGCCTCAGAGTGAAATATTTTGGGATTCTGTGAGAAATGCCTGGATTCCTGGGGTTTTGTATCTTGCATCTGGCTGGGAGAAAGCTGAAAACACGGCGTTTTCCAAAGGGATGGGTTGCGCTTGTTTTCCTTAGCGTTGTGCAGTGCGTTCACGGCAGCTCATGCTGCTGCACAGTCGGGTTTTGGAGTCAATTGAATGTGGCTAAAACCAGCCAGGGTTTGACATCGTCTCCCTGCTGGACCTCATGGGGATGGGAGATGGGGCAGGGCGAGGATGGGGAATGTGGAAGTAGGGCTGTCAAGCAGGGGTTTCAGGCTCTCTCCTCCTCCTCCTGCTCCTCAGGTCCTGCTAGCAAGTCATGATGGTTGAATCCGCCTCGGAGACAATACGGTCCACTCCGTCCGGCCAGAACGGGGTCAGCAGCCTCAGCAACCAGCCCGATGGCGGCGGCACCGGCGGTGCTGCGGCGGGTGCAGGGCGAGAAGGAGCCACGAGCGGGGAGACCAACGGCGAGATGAGCCCCGTGGAGCTCCTGCACTTCCAGCAGCAGCAGGTAGGAGGGACACCCCGCTTCTTACCGATGTGAAACCCCAGGTTTGGGGGTAGCGCTGGATTTTACCCTCCTCTCGTCCCCCAGGGCTGGCACCAGGGGTTGCACCAGATTTGGCCATCCCTGATGAAGCTGGGGTGCGAGTGCTGCTGTCTTTGCGGGGCATATCCCTAAGGAGATGGAGCTCGTTGGTCCAGTGCAGCTCATGGGCTGGTACCTTCTGCCCCAGAGATGGCTGTGGTTTGGGGGGGTCCTGCCTGCTCCACTCCCGATGGGCACAGGGACCCACACAGGGTGCAGGAGAGCAGGGAAAAGACCTGTTGGATGTAAAATCAGGAGCAGGTTTTCTCCGGGTCTGTCTTTGGTTACCCAGGAGAGTGCCCAGAGGTGGTCCCCATCCTTGGTGGGGGTCCTGGTGCCTTCAGGTGGAGATTTAACCTCGCACGTCTGAAAATGTGGGACTGCCACATGTGCATGGAGCAGCTCTGCCCTCGAGCACGCATGTGTGCCCCTCGGGGGGCTGCGTGGCACACGTCTCCCCTTGCCTCATGTGCGCTGTGGGGAAGGGGGGGGCTCTGTGTGTGTGCCTGCAGGTTACCTTTCAAAACAAACTTGGGCAAACCCATAAATTTTCCTGCTCGGATACTAAATAAGGCAATGATCCCTGCCTGGGATGGAGATCGCCTCCCTGAGCCATAAATTCCAGCGTGAAAGCTGTAAAAAATTGCTGTGTCTGATACTTTAGTAGCGAGTGCTGTAAATCCATTACCTGAATAACAGCCGTTTCTCACGCAGTTAAGCCCCCCTTCCCCTGATCTGAAGGCTAATCATGCGTGTAATGCTGCTGCGAGTCACCCTGCCAGGGACGGAGCCTGCACGGTGCACATCAGAGGCTGGGCACCGTGGTGGTGGAACAGGGTCACCTCCTCGGCAAAATAAGGGGGAAAAGGGATTTTTTGCAGGTGCTGTTGGCTCATCCCTGTGGATGCTGCTCCCGCCCTGCCTAAAGGACATCCTATGTTTGATTTGCACCCTCTTGCACTTCTTCTTTTGGATTCCCAGTGTAACTGCCCTGGGAAACTCACTGGCACGTGGAATTATGAAGGCAGAGGGTTTGGTCAACTTCCAAAACCGAATGACATCCGCAATGACAGCACCACAGGGAAGGGGGAAAGAAACCATCGTGAGCGCTATCAATCTTCATGCTTCAGGGAACAGGCTGAGCACCAGCTGGGGTCAGGAATAAATGTCCCCATGTAGAGAGCTTTGCACAATTAGGTGCTTTATGAAGGCGTTGCGCCATCCTTGGGAGCATCCCATTGGCGCAGGCAGGATCTCGGACCACTGGGTTCTTCCCATCTCACAGCTCCTCCATCCCAGCTCCTGCAGTATTGGCCCTCAGTTCTTATTTAACTATATGAAATCCCCCCAAAACCCATTCGGGAGCGTGGAGGGGTGGACCCACCCCAACTCAGCAAGCCCTACCTGGCCTTGAGGGGCCACTGGTGGCTTAAAACTGCGTCTGTAGGGGTTCTTTCCCTGGGGGCATGTGCTCTGCTCTCTGTTTTGGCTGGTTTTGCACCTTTGGGTGACGTGAGCTGGATTGGACCTTTTTGGGTATCCGCAGCCTCCTTTTGAAAGGGTGAAATCGGGTACCCCGGTGCTTGTTGGCAGGGACTTCTCAGGTTAAACCCCACTTTCTGAGTGCTGCTCGGAGGTGAGTGCCCTCGGTGGGAGCTAGAAGGGAGCTGTGGGTATCGTGAGGTGTTCGGGGACCCCTTGAAGCTGGTTTGTGACTTCTGGGCAGTCCCCAGAGTAAAAGGATGGGGGTGTCCAGCTCTGCTCGCAGCTTTGTCACCCTCCTCCTTGCGCCTGCTCTGCCTGTCCATGTCGCTGCAGAGCATCCCGCGGTCTGGAGCATCTGGAGGGGAGCGGGAGACTGGTGGGATGAGGTGAGGAAAGGGCTGCGGAGCTGGAGCATCCCCCTCTCCCTTCCCTCCTTCCTTCCCCTCTCCCCCGCAGCCCAGGGGATGGCGTTCAGGTTAAATCCCTGGATTTCAATGGCAGGGTTGGGCTGAAAAGCTTGAATAGCGCGCGCCGGCATTGTCCCGGGGTTGGCAGAGGGGAGAGGTCGGCTGGGGGCATGGGAGGGCTCCCACCGCTGTTGCTGTGGGAACGTGGTGAGACCTCCAGCGCGGTGACATCCTGCAGCCGGGCTGCAAAGCACCGCTCATCACCGAGCATTCATCAGCTTTTAACGTGGGGCTGGCCCCCTGCCCCCTGCCACGATGGGTCCCCCCCACCCCGGGACCCCTCGGCTGTGCAGGAAACAGGGGCACCAAGTGATTGGGATGTTGCATCCCTGCAATGGGAGGAGGATGAGGGACGTGCCAGTTTGGGAATGGGGGTACAGGGGAGACCCATGGATGGGCATCGCACGTGGCCGCGTGCCGAGCAGGAGCTGCTCTCCCATGGTTTGGGTCTGTTCAGGGTTTCCTTGTGTCCCTGCAAAGAATCCCAGGTTCCAAGTGTAATCCCAGAGCTAGGGTTTAAACCATGGGGTGCAGAGGCTGCAGCTTCGGGAGTGCAAGGTGACTTGGAGCAGGGATGTCCATGGGGAGTCATGGGGAAGATCCCCGAGTGTGGCAGCTGCATGGTAGCCGTTTCCAACTTGTTATCCTATGGAAAAGGAGCCATCTGGAAAATCATCCTTTGGTGGGGTTTTATTATGCTAAAAGAAATTGCAGTTTATGGCAGGCACGTGTTGAAGAAATGTGAAGTTATTAAACAAAAGTAAGACTTTTGTCTTTAAAAAGAAGAAAATTGGACTTTCTTTTTTTGGTAGTTAAAGGGGGGGGCACTTCCTTGCCATGGCACAGATACTGTTCCATAAAGCATGTGATCACATCTCAAATATATTGTGTAATCCACTATAATTAGGGTATTTCAGATAAAATGAGACCGGAGCACTTAAGTGAAACTCATCTCTCCATAGGTGCTTTGATTTATACTTCCTATTTTACGGAGTACAAATGCAGGAGGGGGTTTCCCTTCTTGTTACTCTCTTTTTCCCTGCTGGGGTGGGCTTGTCAGGAGCATGTTCCTGGTGTTCTTCATTAGTGGGAATGGGTTTAACCCCTCGCCTGGCAGGATTGAAGAGTCAAGAGTGGAGGAAGCAAGTCTGCAGGCATTAGCGTGTGCAGCGATGGGAGTGCAGCCGGGGCTGCTGTCAGAAGGGCTTTGGGGGTTTTTTGCCTCCTTCCCCTATGAAGGATTATGTCATTTTTGTGAATTCTGATCTTTTTGGAGCCGTTTGGTTCTGGTTAAGCACAGCCAGGGCTGGGCTGGGTGGAAGCGCTTCTCAATATAGCATCATTTACCGTTAATATCCAGCTAAAAATACCCGTGTGTGTGTGTGTTGTTTTAATAGCTCTAATTCTGGAATGTGACGATGTCATTTTTATGAGGCTAGTGTAAAATTATTCCTTTTTTTTTTTCTTGATGTTTTTTCATCCCTTCCCAACCTCTTTCTATCCTCAAAAAGGACAGAGGGAAAAGGGACGATACAGACTCTCTTTGTAGATCCGCTTGCTGCCCCATTCTTTGCACAGTTCTTGGTTTAGTGTCATTTTTAGGGTGGCTTTTCACTTGCTGGACATTAAAACCCCGTTGCAGAGCTTTGATCCCGTCCAAGTGGAAAATCCCTCCCTGGGTTTGAGCAGTTCCCACCACAGGCCAGGCAAACCCACTTTGGCCCCAGCACCATAATTATATGTGTGCCCTCGTAAACTGAAATACGTGGTGGGATGAGGGAGGTCAGGAATACCCTGGGCAAAGCTTTCCCATGGGATGGGATGGAATGGGAGCTGCTGTCTCTGCTCCTCAAGCACTTCCATCACTGGGGCTGGGTGGGATGGGGCGGTCCCCGTGGAGAAAGGGATGTTTGTGGTGTTTGTCATGGGAAGCCAGCCAAGAGCTGGCCTTTGTGGGGAGCAACCGTCACGGACAGGGGTATCCTCCTGGCCAGAGCACGAGTGTTTGGGGGAAGGATTAACAATAATCCCAGGTACACTGGGTGGAAGCTGGGTTAACAGGCTGCTTCCCTGCTGGAGGAGGAGATGCAGCAGGTTTACCCAGTGAACTGAAGGGATTTGGCATCCCCAGGGGGAGATGAGAATCCCACAGGCTTGAGTACCCCAGAGTCCCCTGCCCTGGCACAGAAGCCTCTGCTCGCATGGGAGCAGCTCGGAGCTGGTCCTGGCAGGGTGGCTGCTGTCTGGGCAGAGCATTCCCACCCCTGGGATTAATCCCAGGCACTGTTTAGTTACTGACCCTTCCCTGTCCCATACAACCTGGTGTGTTACGTGCCACCGTGCAGCATAGGGCAGTTAGGGGCCACCCCCAGCAGAGTCTGGGTCTCCATCCTCTTCCTCAGCACTGAAACCTGCTGCTCTGGGGAAGGGCCAAGCCGACCAGCAGCAGCTCCTGATGGAAGTGTCTGAGGCATTACATACTTTTTTATGGGATAATTTGCTGATCAAAGGGAGCCATCCAGGAGCATGATGAATTTGACACAAGCCATTCGTTCCTAATTACGGGTAACGTGCTAATGGTTCTTGAATAACACCATGCAGCAGGATACGAGGTTTTAAAGAAAAAGTCATTTTTTCCCCTCTGGTTCCCAGAGCCAGGAGGTGGAATCCCATCCACTCTGCAGGGCAGGATTGCTTCCTTCTGCTCTCACATCTCCTCCGCCCGAAGGAAAGGATGGGGATGGGGGTGAACCATCCTTGGTCATCCCTATGGAAAAGCTGCACCCCAGCTGCAGGCCCCACTGCCCTGCAGGGTGAGGGTGGCGAATGCGGCTATAGCACAGGGCTCTGCATCCCCAAACCGGGTTCTTGGGGTTCCAACTGCTTCATGCAACAGGTCTGCAGCACCGTGTGCTGCCAGGCACAGCATCCACAGGCTCAGCTGGACTTGCTGCTGGTGATGGGAAGGGATAGATGGATGGATGGAGGGAGGGAGGAAGGGAAGGAGGGGGGAGGCCCCCATGTGCAATTGTAAGGCCATGTCAGTTTTGTTTCCTGTAAATCTTGTAATTTCGTGCTTCAGAGCACAACAAAGTGAGAGCCAGCAGGGAGTGAATTCAATTCCCCCCTGAGAGCTGCTGTGGTGGGGACACGGTGGCACCTGTGGCCAGCCAGTGTTTGGGGTTAGAAAGGGAGACACTGGGAGAAGTCCTGCACGGTGCTCGGCTTGGGCCCTGGCATCGTGTCTGTTTGTCCCCTCCTGGCTGTGTCTTCCATACCTGCTGCACTGGTGTTTGTTGGGCTGGGGCAGGGACCTGCCTCACCAGCTCGCCTGGGTGAGCTGCTCCTTGCAAACACGGGAGGGATTTCCCGTGGTGCAGATGGAGAACCAGATCCATGCAAGCCTCTGTCCATCGGGCACATGGCAAAAGCAGCTGAAGCTCGAGCAGCCGGTGTGCACCCAGGGAATGGTCCAGCACCCGTCCCTGGATGGGTGCCTTGGACCTGCTGCGCACTGAGCAGCGTCGCTTGAATCCCTCCACCCTGGGCTTTTAAAGGGAATTACTGTTTTCATTTCAAAAAGTAATTAAAATATCAGACCTTGAGCTGTCATAACTGTCACATAGTTTTTGTGTTCGCATTACCCATGCACATCTATTACTGTTAATAACAGGGAAATAACATGCCCGTGGAGAAACGCGCCTGTGTCAGCTCCAGGACATGGACCCCGGGCTCGTGCCATCAGGGTTCCCAGCAGCAAATTGCAGGGTTTTGTCCTCAAGGATTTCACGGTTTAGAATCGTTTGGATAATGCGAGTTTGCAATTTGAGAGGTTGGGCAGGGCTGGAGCATCCCCAGCAGCGGACAGGGATGCTCGGGAAGAGGCAAGGGGCACTTTGGGCTTTGGCTGCTGGTGGGTGCAGCCTGGGTGCATTATAGGAGTGTGATGTTAGGATCCCATCTGCTTTTGGAACTCCTGACCTTTTAGCTTTCTTGAGGCTGTTTGGTTCAAGGCATGTGGTGGCAACTGCAGCCAGGCAGGGCAGAGGGTGCCCTGTGCTGTGACTGGGGCACAACTCTTGGGTTTGGGTTCCTTGCAGTGAAATGATCATGGTCTGGATCTGCTAAATGCTCTGCTCACAGCCTCCACGTTCAGCAGTGGCTTTAAAATCACCTCTGGTTTTCAAGTGCACTTCTAATGCCTGTCCACATGCAAGGAGCGGGTCGGATGGATTGATCCAGCAAACCCCCCCCGTGGGGCACCGCTCGGACAGCCTTCGCTTTAGGTCTGTGCGTATTCTCTTCCCGAGCAACCCCCTGCAGAGAGAGGCACAAAATGGGACCTAAACCCCAGCCCTTCCATGGAGCTTTATTCCTTCTCTTGCCTCCTGATTGAAGCCCCTGGTTTGGGCCACGCTCGCCTGTGGCCAGCTCCTTTCTCCCCATTGTCTCTTTGCAGGACACTGGCCATGGCTCGCTCATGGCTGCTTGTGCCTGTTTCCACAAGTGGTTTTTATCCATTCGCATTGGTTTCTCCCTCTTTTACCTGTTGCAAACCATCCCAGCGAGGCAGCTTCATCCTGCAGCCAAGTTAAGGAAACCCTGAACTCTTTATAGGCAAGCACCCATTAAAATAAGCAGGTTTTGTCTTGGTCGCTTGTGTGAGTTCCTGACCTCCTCCTGCACCACTATAAACTCCATGTGGATGTGTTCATGGGTTATTAATTCAGGGTGGAATCCTGCACTTGGCCTGAGCTGAAGCTGGGCAATGAGTGGGACTTTCTGGGGCTCCGGTGTGGCAATCTGATGTAAAGTTAAATAGAGATGGGAGCTTTAGACATAAGGAACAGCGGCTGCAGCAGGAATGTCCTGGTGGCTCCATGCAGACGGGAAGTAAATCAGGGAGCAAACCCCTGCGAAGGACCTTTGGTTGGGTGTTGGCTGTGCTGAAAACCTGCTGAGGCACAAGGATGCTGGGGATGGAGAAGGGCTTTTGGAAGAGGATTGCCCCCGAGCTCCTGTGGCCCTCAGTGGCTCTGGGGTTGGAATGCTTGGTCTGTAATGGGATGTTCTGGTCACGCCCTTCTCATGCATCGCTTGAGGAGGAGGATGAGGCGGGCTGCCTTCCTCCTGCCCACCCGCTGTGTCTCTCTTGCAGGCTCTCCAGGTGGCACGCCAGTTCCTGCTGCAGCAGGCCACGGGGCTGAGCTCCCCCAGCAGCAATGAGGGCAAGCAGCCGGCGGTGCAGGTGAGCCCCAGGATGTGTGTGTGTCTTCCCCTTCCCCATCACCCCTTTCCCAGGAAGGGCTCAGCTGCAGTTGGATGCTGTGGGAAACCGCACGGGCAGACGCACATCGCCTCTGGCTTCGGGATGGCTGGAACACACCAGGAGCCCCCAGAGAGTTAAATTCTCTGTAAACCTCCAGATATCTCTTCTTTTGGGGGGGTTGTGGTGTCCCCGTTGTGTGCTGAGGTGGTGGGAAAGGGTGATGCGAGGGGAAGGTTGGCTCCAGGCAAGGTGAGGACTGGGGAGGGAAGGTTGCTGTGTGCCACCATCCCTTGGGATGGCATTTGTAGAGTTTCCCAGGGTGGGAGCACCCCAGGATTGATGCTGTGTGTGGGTGCAAGACAGGTTCTGTGTCATAGGACAGGGCAAAGGCCCATCTAAGGTGGGGATTTTATGGCACTGGCAGGAAAATGGGTCTTCAGGTGGATGCAGCACCCTTGGGTGGCATCCAGCTCCCATATGAGAGAGGGGACCTCCCACTTGCTGCTCTCCTCTGCCAAAGGGAAGGGACAGAAGAGGGATGTGAACCTGGGGAGCGGGGGAGGCAGAAAGAAGCAAAGCCCTAAGCGATGGGAAGTGCCAATTTAAATAGCTGTGTGGAGGGGCTCTCCCTTCAGGCTAATTAAATTTATCAGAGAACAGCAGGTTACTTTATTAGAGCCACGTGGGTTTAATTAACAAAGGAAAGTAATTAGCACAAGCACTCTCAGAGCTGGAGGTCCTGCCGATGCCAGGCTGAGCCGGCACGAGAGTGGGAGCCAAGGCTGGGATGGGACATCACTTGTCCCTCCCTTGGCTTGGGAAGCCAGGGCATGGCTGAGCCTCAGCCAGTGCATCCCGGTGCTGGGTGGGCTCCTTGCAGGGGTCATGGAGCCTGGAGCCCTTGGAAGCCCTGCTGGGATGGGAAGCAGGAGCCGGGTCCGGGCAGTGGGAATTAGTCAGGGCTCCCGCGGCGCAAACAGGCGGCTTTTTCCAGTGGTGCTGGCAGGAAGGAAATGCAGTCACTGCATGGAAAACGTCTGCGAAGGACAAAGGCAGCGAGGGTGAAGTCAGATTCCGGTAACCGGCGCCTCGCTCCCCTCCATGGGTGCGTGTCCCTGCCTGTGCTCTCCTGCCTGCGCTTCTGCCTGGCCCTCGCTGCCCCATCTCCATGCCCTTCCCTCGCTCAGCATCCCATTCCCGATGGCTTTTCCTTCCTCGCCTCCCGTCCCTGCCCATCCTTCCAGCGGCTCTGCCGGACTGAACTGGATCTGCCTTCGCTTCCCCTCCTCCCCTTCTCCCTTGCAAAAGGACTTGTGAAAGTTGTAGACGTGAGTCAGAAATAGCTCATAACTCAGCAGCGACCGGCCTCTTCCTCCCACCCCGGCCCGGCCGGCAGCTGGAGCAGGATTTGACCGAGGGGAGATAGAGGATTAAGCAGACTCCTTTGAAAGGAAGTTTATCTAACGACAGCGTGGTGTGGATGAGACTGGCCAGGACGCCTGGAGGAGGAGGAAGGCTGGGTCCCAGTGCAGCAGCCGCTGGCTGGGGAGGGATGGGGGAGCATGGCAGGAGTGGGGTTCATTGCAGTGTTTGGGAGCCAGCCTGGGGGCTGGATTTCCACATCGCTTGGGTGTTTTGGGGCGATGGAGAAGATGTTTCAGTGGCCCCTCCTTTGCTCCCGTTCCCAGGATGGTCCCAGTGTCAGCAGAGAGCCGGAGAGCTGCGCAACCCCATGCACTTGCTGTTGCAGGAGCAGCTCCCCACTGCCTTGCTGATGGGGATGGGACGTTCATGGGGCACCCAGCCAGCAGGAATACTAACAGCACTCAATGTGTGCTCTGAACAAGCTGCTGAGCTCAGCAGGGATCTTTGGGATCTGGGTTGTTTTGGAGCATCTGTCTGCCCCCAGATGCCTGGAGGTGTGTGGGGAGAGCCTCAGAGCTGATGCTCGAGCTACAGCTGGAAACAACCTGGAACATCTTCAGATGGGTTTATTTCTTTGCAACTTGAAAACTGTTAGAAACTTGCCAACAAAGGGTTGCGTTGGAGGACTCCTGGTCTGCAGGGTGCTCCTCTCCTGTGGGAGCTGATCCCGCAGGATCCTCCTGGCGTGGGGAGATGCTGCTGGTATCCAGGGAAGCCACGGTGCGAGGTGCTGGAGCATGTTTGAGCTGGCGTTTGCAGTGCTGGGGTATTTCTGGCTTGGAGGCATTGCTGAACCCTGGGCGCCTTCTTTGGGGTCCCTTCCCCAGCTCAGAGCCGGGGCTCTCCCACAGCAACTTGCCGAGGTTCAGAAGCCTCTGAGGTGGGAGAGGGGCTGGCGGGAGGGAAGGGGAGAGGAGTTTGGAGCGAACAGTGGGAAATTGCTTTCCTTTCGTCTGCGGCGGCCGGGGAGGGCAGCGGAGCGGAAAAGTGCATTTTGTTGATTTGAAACTTGAGTGCAATGGGTAATGGAGACAGATCAATACCAGCCCGCGCGCCTTCCCTCGCCCGGACAGAGCTCAGCAGCGCGTCCGCCGCGCTAGGTTTTTCCATTTGAACTCGCAGCACCAGTGTCTGTCCCCGGTCCCCCTCGTCCTTCCCGGAGTTCCTTGCCATGTGCTTTGGACTGGCAGGGAAGCAGAGTTGTCCCTTCAGTCCCTGCAGGTTTCATCAGCACCCAGTGCCCGTGGAGAACACGTGGGATCCTGCCCCAAGGAAGGTGGTGCCGGGCACAGCATCGCCACTGGCATCGGCATCCCCCAGCCAAATCCCTTTCAACTTCAGTGGCACACAGTCCAGCTATGGGTGATCATCCTAACAAGGATGCACGTTGGGTTGAACGTAACAGGGATGGATTCCTTCTTTCCTTTCATGCAACATAGTCAGCGGTCAGTTGTCCTCCATGCAGCTACGTGGGTGCCCCCTCGCCCTGTGCTGCTGCCACCCTCACCCAAGGCAATTAATCCTCTTTTGTGAAGGCTGTTCAAAGGATTCATAAAAGCCCCATGGAGCTGGAGCTCCCATGCAGATCTGGGTTTGGTTTCTCCTCTGATGCTGGGTAGGTTTTGGTCTGGCATCGCTGTCTCATCTCAGTGAGATCTGGGCACAGCGTGGTGTGAGCAGAAGGGGTAGAGCAGCGTCTGGGTGGCCCTGTGCCACCCGTCAGGGTGTATAAACCCTGGCTGATGTGAGTGGCATCATTGCTGCCTGGCCTCAGGCATTGGAAGCTCTCGCAGATGGTCTGAGCCAGCAGAACCTTGGCACTTGCTCGGGGATGCTGCACACAGGAGGGGATGTGGGGATGTGCTTGCGTGCTTCGGCTGGGCTCGGGGTGGAAGGTTTGCTCTTCTCCAGCTGCAGCAGTGAGAAGTGGGTGCTCTGGGGGGGTATTTGCTCATCCCCTGCCCCTAAAATCAGACCCGAAGCTGCTCTCGGTGGTGGTTCTCCCCCCTCCCTGCCCTGTTCCCAGCTCCCAGATGAGCTCATTTGTTGCTATAGGTTTTGGATTTGAAAATGGTGTTAAACAAACAAGAAACACAGTGCAGACATGTTTGTTGTTGTGTCTATTTGGGAGCTGGACCCCGAAATCAGATCAGGGACAAGGATGTGCAGTGCCATGGGCCCTATGGGAAGCATAAAACACTCCAGGTAGCTGGTGTGCACCCACATGGGGAGAGGTTTGCTCAAGGCCAGGTTGGATGGGGCTTGGAGCAAGCTGCTCTAGTGGAAGGTGTCCCTGCCCGTGGCAGGGGGTTGGAACTGGATGAGCTTTAAGGGCCCTTCCAACCCAAACCAGGCTGGGATTCTATGATCCTTGGGCTTCCAGAGGCTCCCAGGTCATCCGGGATGGAGGGGATGAGCTCTGGTCTGTGCCTGCCCCAATGCAGGAGCTTTATGTGTGGTTTTAGGTGTGGACCTGGAAATGCTCCCTCCAGCTTCCAGCATGCTCCCTGGGGACACTGGGGCTCCTGCATCAACCTCCCTGCATGGGTGATGCATGGCCAGGAGGTGACTGTTGATGCAGGGGTTGAGGACTGGCGATGGGGATATCCCGGTGCTGGTGCTGTGCCGAGCCACGGAACCAGGATCAGCCATGGGGCCACGGCTTCCCCCGCTCTGCCTCATGGCTGGGAGCTGCAATCCGCTTCCCGTCAAAACAACATAAAAACCCTAAGGAAAAGCAAAGCGAGAGCATCGCTCCGATGCTGCTGCGGCCATCCAGCCCAGTCCTGTTTCTCTCAGCCAGCTTTGGCAGAGCTGCCCTGTGCCGAGTTTCCCTGTAAAACCCGTCTGCTTTTCCACCCTCTGCCTGGTGATGCCGGCACGCAGGGATTGCAGCAGCCGGGACCACCTGGAAAAGCACCCCCCGGAGATACCGCTCGCGGTGGGAGCCGCAGCGCCGGGCTGCTGGGAGGCAGCAGAGCTGGGAGTGAGCAGTTGTGTGGGGTGGCAGCCGGCCAAGGCGTGAGTCAAACCCTTCCTGACGCGGTGTCTGGCAGATGCCAGCTCGTGACGCTGGGACCTGCTTCCCAAGGGATTTGCCGGGTGCAGCGCGAGTGGTGCCTGGGCAGGGGATGGTTGGAGGAGGCAGCTGGGTACAGCTCATCCCTTGTGCCTCCTGTGTTGCTCTGCTTGGCACCCTTTGCTCTCTCTTGTGGTGTTGACTGCCTGGATCTGAGCTTTGGAGGCGACCGTTGCCCAAAAACCTCCTGTTATCCAGGGATCCTAAGAGAAGAAGAATCCAGGGAGACCTTAGAACTGTCTTCCAGGGGGCCTGTAAGAAATAAGAAGAGGGGCTTTGGACAAGGGCATGCAGGGACAGGCCAAGGGGAATGGCTTTAACCTGCCCGAGGGGAGACTGAGATGAGCTCTTAGGCAGAAGCGCTTCCCTGTGAGGGTGCTGAGGCGCTGGCACAGGGTGCCCAGAGAAGCTGTGGCTGCCCCATCCCTGGCAGTGTTCAAGGCCGGGTTGGACACAGGGGCTTGGAGCAGCCGGCGCTGGTGTATGTGGTGACCGGCTGCAGTGGGTCAAAACTTGCTGTAAATGGGAATTTCCCCTAAAGAAAGTTCCTGCCCCCCCTGGAAAACCTGAGCTGGGACAAGGAGGGAAATTGTTCACGTGGCTTCAGCATCAGTTGGGGCTCAGGTTGGTGGTGAAGCCCGGGTGCCCCTCACAAGAGCCAGCACCGGTTCACCCCATTCACCCCCTTTGGAAGCCACCACCATTTCCCCGTGTCAGCTCTGCATCCGTGCGCAGAAGAGGTGGGGGGGGGGGGGGGGGGAAGCCATTTAATGCAGACAAAGGTTGTATGAAAATATAATTCTGCTTTTGTTAGCAGCCATCAAACTCTAAAAAGCATCACTTTTGTTTTCTTGTAACATTGTGAAAACCTCGTGTCGGATCGAGAGCTGGGGCCCTCTCGACTAATCGCCTCTCCTTTGTGTTTTTAGATTATAGGGGCAATTAGTGTTGTCAAAACCTCTGGCAATTCTCTTTGCTCTTGACAGGGTGTCAGTCCGCTGGGCGAGAAATGGAAGGTGTTATAACTCTCCGGTAATTAGGATGCCTCCGATTTGAAAATGCCAGCAAACGGGGTGGGAGCGGGCGCACGGAGGGGGTGGGAGCCCGCCCGGAGCGGGGATGCGGAGCAGCAATTAATCAGGGGCTCTCATTCTGAGCACGTTGCCAGCTGATGAATTGGCAAAGGGAAAGGAGCGGGATGCCCGTGCTCCTCGCACCGGCCTCGCGAGCATCCTCCCTTCCAGATGTTCACCGAGGGCTTGCACAGCTGTCTGTGAGCACCTGAGCGCAGAAACAGCTTTGTCCCAGTGCTGGTGCCACGGAGCGGGGGGGCTCCCATGGTTCCAGCACCCCTTTGCTGGGGATGCTCCTCCCAGCCGGAGCAGGGGAGGGTGCCCCGCAGCAGCCTTTGGGTGTGAACATGCAGCAGTTAATCAATAACTGACACGAAGGCAGCTGAAGAGGGGGGGAACTGCCGGCCACAAATGAAACTCGGCCGCTGGCCATGCCTCCCTCCAGCAAAATGCCTGAGTAAACAGATAAGCCTTTGCAATCTCCCTTGAAGGTCAGTGTGCTCCAGCCTGGCACCCAGCACAGCCAGGAGGGACTGAGTGGGGCCTCCCGGTGGTCCCGTCCCTGCTCTGTGTCTCACTGGGGGTGGCTGAAGGGGGGAAGCAGCCCCAGCATCACTGGGCAGGAGGGGCTGGCAGGCACCAGGCTCTGAATCCGGTTGGTTTCTTTCTCTGTCCCTTGGTCTCTGAGGTCCTGCGACTTTGGGAAGGGCTTTGGGCTGGTGGGCTGGGAGGAGGCAGCATCGCTTCACCTGGGCAGGAGTGGTGGGGCTGGGATCCATCACTGACACCTCTCTGGTGCTTTGCCGCGGGGTGTGGACCCGTGTGATGATAACCAAAGGCAGGGTATGTCAGGTTCTCCCAGCCTTCCCTTTGCTTGGCATGGTAATTGTGAGTTACTGGTGTCAGCTGGAGGTAAAGCTTTGATGTGTGTCTATGGAAAACCTGGTAACCTCTTCCTCCGTGCTCTGCTCTGCAAAGTTATTTGGGTGATCGGTATCTTCCCCGCTTCCCTTGGGGTTTCCCTCCTCCCTGCATCCTTCGGGACCTGGAGGGAAGGAGCAATGCCCTGCACCTTTCCCCTGCTCATGGAAGGGGAAGGGAGCTGTGGTTTGGAGCTGGCTGCCCATGTGCTGCTGGCTCCTCCTGACTCCCAGGTCCCCCCAGCTAAACTGCATTTAAAGACCCTATGGGCAGAGAGCATCCTGCCCCGGGATGGGAGGGAGCTCAGGGCTTAGGAAGCTTTGTCCCAGTGCCAGCTGCACCATGGAGCGTGTCCCTGTCATCACCAGTCCCCCTTGTGCCCATGTCAGTGGCCTGGAGGTGCCACTGGGGTGGGGGGCATGGATGATGCCCCAGGGGGTGGCATCAGGGGAGGGTTTTCCACGTTGGGATTGGTGACGTGTGTGTCCTCTCCGCAGGTCCCCGTGTCCGTGGCCATGATGTCCCCGCAGATGATCACGCCGCAGCAGATGCAGCAGATCCTGTCACCGCCCCAGCTCCAGGCCCTCCTGCAGCAGCAGCAGGCGATAATGCTGCAACAGGTAACGCTGCTCCTGGGCAGCTCCTTGGTGATCCATGAACTCTGGAGCTTGGTGCAGGCAGGCGGATGGGTCCTTTCCTCCTTGGGCTCCTGCATCCCCCATGTGTTTCCTTAGGGATTCCCAGCATGTCCAGTACCAAGGGATGAAAAGAGCTGCAGGTGCTCACAGTGCTGGCAGAGCCAGATGCTGCTGCCTGCAGCCAGAGTGTCAAAGCCCAAAAAGCTCCTGCACAAGGGCTGGTCTGGAGCTGCCCAGCTCGTGGGGTCAGTGTGGGTGCTCTTGGCTCTATGGGACCCCAGGCAGAGCCTCTGTGGTCACTACTTGGGCTTTGGGGTCGGTGTCTGGGTCCAGCTCCAGTGCGTGGGTTTGTTTCTCACGCCCCGCTTGGCTTTTCTTGAGCACTTGTCAAGTGTAAACTGAACAGGGAGGGAAGAAAAAGGAAGAGACAGAAAAAACCAAACCTCAGCTCCAAAACAAAACAGGTCTGCTTGGGTAAACACCTCCCGCCGGCGGGAGGGAGAGCAGGAGAAATCCCACAAGCATCCTCCCCACCCTTCCTCCTGCCTCCAGTACCTGTTTACTCCAAACAGGCTGATAAGGATTCAAGGTTGGCCCCAGGGAAAGAACAAAGGGTAAACACTACCCTGGGTGGGTCCTTCTGCAAGGCTCTTTGCAGCCGGATAAAGAAACACGTTTGACTGCAAATTAAACAACCCAGGCCGGAATAGCTCGCATTCTCCACCAGAAGAAAACCAAACATCACACCTCTCACCCCTGACCCAATGTTCCTGCAGCCCTGCTCGACCATGCTGCAGAGCCCTGCCTTTGATTGGCTTTTGGGTAAACACCCGGCTCTCCAAACCTGTCCGCAGACAGAAAGAGCAGAGCTGCTGCTGTCAGCGCTGTCAGCCCCGAGCTGATAAAGGCTTCCCGGCATCCAAAGGGGCATTCCTGAGCCACCACCGGGGGGGGGCACGGGATGGTGGGAGGGGGCTGCTGGGTACCGGTGACCTCCCGCTGCCTCCGGCCCCCCCCCACGCCAGCAAATCCATCACCAACAGTTTAGTTAGGGGCCAGGCGAGAGCTGGCAGCAGGTCCCAGACTGGGACCCTCTTGGTGGCTCGGTGCAGGGCTGGGGTGGTTTTGTCTCTTCTGCTGGCCCCTCTGCTTTGCCTGGGTGCTGCGAGGGGCCAGGTTGCCCGTGCTTTTCCATGGTGTCCGTGGAGCGGGATGCAGGTCAGAGCCCCTAACACTTGCAGGGTTCCACTGTGCAGACCAAGGGCTGTGGCTCCTCCTGGCCTCTTCCCAGGGGTGTTTTGGGGTCCCACTGTGCCAAAGGTGGCATTTCTCCACTCATGATGTGCCAGAGCATCTGTCAAAGGGTTCACCCTCCTCCTGGCGGTTCACATTCCCCTTAGGACACGCGGGAATTACTGAGCTAGGGATTGTGTCCCTCTTCCTTGGGGCCGGGCCAGGCCAGGCAGAGCCGGGGCAACAGGTCAGCATTAGAACGGATGGCAGGTTTGGTTTGGTGGTGTTCAGGGGTTTCACTTGCTGTGGGGATGCAGAGCCCTTGGGAGTGTGTCCCAGGGTTTCTTCTGCAGCCGTGGCTCCTTTGGAGAGGACTTTTCCTCTTAACCCACCGCCAGGAGCCTGCCCTGACGGCGTGGTGCCAGGCACTGACGTGGCTGCGGCAGAGCCGGTGCTGGGCATGGGGTAGTGCCAGGCAGGGAGACGTGACCAGGGTGTTCCTGCTGCTAATTTTGCTCTCTCCCCTCCCGTCCCTCCCAGTTACAGGAATACTACAAGAAGCAACAGGAGCAGCTTCACCTGCAGCTATTGACACAGCAGCAAGCTGGAAAGCAGCAACCCAAAGAGGTGAGCTCACGCTGACGGGTTCTGGGCCATCAGATCTGGCAGCAAATAAAAGGGGGCCCAGCACAAAACAAGGTGTGTGTGAATCCCAGCACGCAGGGAGCCAGCAGGGATGGGGCATGGGGACATCCTGCTCATCCCTTCCTGAGGCACTGCCCCTGCCAGGCTCTTGGCACAGCGTGGGTCCGGCAGCCCCTCCTGAGCAAGCTGGCACAGCAGCACCCTGGCAAGTGGGTGAGCAGGGCTGGTCAGATGGGAACCCAATCCAGGGCTTTTCCTGCTGGGAAAGGCAGCTCTGCAAGACCCAAACACCACATGAAACAGCAGCCATGCCAGGAAAGGCCTTTTCCAATGGGAGATGCCCCCCGATGACCAGGCCCTTTGCTAGCAGACAACTGCTTATTCTGGTGTCATTGCATCAGTCTTGTATAGCTCCCTTTACACAATGGGTTTTGCTCTCCTTTCCTTAAAAAGGACTTAAACCTTAACTCTCTTTTCAGGGAGGAAGTGTTAAAGCCCAGACTCTGCCCTGGGGTGGCTGCAGCGGGGGCTTCAGCAAAGCCCACACCAGCACAGGAGGAATGGGGTGGCAGTGGCAACTCTGGATGGGATTAGGACCCACTCAAGCCTTCGGTACCCTTTGACCCAGGCTTTCAGTGCAGGATCTTGGTGTATTTATGCAGTGTGCGCAGGGTCAGGCTTTATCGGAGCCATCTCCAGGAGCTGGAGTAGCTGCTCGTGCTCCGGGAACGGGGGAGGCATAAATCTGAGCTTCCTCAAGGACTTTCCTCTTGGCCATGGTGATGTTATATTGCAGCAGCGAACAGGGATATAATTAAGCCCTAACAAAGGGCTTGCTTAGCGGCTTCCTGGTCTAAAAAGTACAGGTTAACTTTTAATTAAATGGTACAGAGGAGACAAGAAACTTATCCGCTAACAAAGTGAGTGGCTGGCAGGGCGGGAGGGGAATTAGGTGATGCTGAGGGCGCGTGTGCCCAGCTCCTGCAGCATCACCACCCCGTGGCTATTGAGATCACTGAGGGGATCTCCATAAGTGGATGGCAGAGCATTCCCCCTCCCCAGAGCACCCCAGCTCGGCTTTGTGGGGTCGGCTTCACCCTGAGAATTTGGGCAGCTGCTGTTAATGAAGCCTCATGCTGGGAATGAATGGTGATGCCGCTGCTTCCCCCGACGGCACAGGGAATAGCTGGCATGTCTGGGATGCCGCCACAGAGCCGCTCTTGGCCGGCGTCAGCTCCCTCATGGAGCTCCACAATGGTGTTTAATTACAGCCCTGCTGCAAGGTTTGTGAATTGGGCACCTTCTGCTTTCCCTCTGCTTGATTCCAAGCACTCGCCATGGTGTCATTGGATGTCTCTAAGCGCGGATAGGGATCAGCAGGTGGGAATGGCTTTGGTGCAGAGCAGCAGCATCTGGTGGAGCAGCAGCACGGCTGGAGGTCCCCCAGTGAGCACAGGGAAGGGGAGAACAGGAAAAGAGGGAGCGCGAAGGGTGGGAATGTGTCGGAAGCGCCTGTCGGCAGCATCCTGTCCTGGAGGATGCAGGGGGTGCTTTGTGTCTGTGAGCTGGGGTGCAGGGAAGGGGCCAAGCAGGACAGCTCATGCATGCATCCCGCCAGGATGGGGCTAAGCTGCAGCACATCCCAGCCCATCCTGGAGCCTTTTCCTGCCTTGGGGTGTGAGTGTGAACCCCCAGCTCTAGCAGCATCCCGAGCATGGGACTGAGATGGCTCCAGGCCCTCGTGACAGGAGGTGGTGAAGCTGGGCTCTGCCATCCCACTCTTTCCCAGTTGCTTTTCCTCTTCAAGCCCAGCTGCTGCAAGCAGCATCCGGGTGCAGAGACCCCAATATCCCCTGCGTTCGAGGCCAGTGGGTCTCCATGTGCCCCTCAGAGCTGCTGGGGCAGGGAGTTGTCCCTCTGCCGAGTCTGTTGGGGTAGGGGAAGACGGGGGGGGGATGCAAGGGGGCTGCCTGCTGCCTAACCTTGGTGTCAGCTTAATGAACTGCTCCTGTCAGTCCCGCATGTCACGCCGAAACTCCTCCTGATGTGCTCATAAATCAAAGTGACGGCGGCTCTTAGCCCGGTAGCTGCACCCAGTCATCTGCGTCTAATGTACGGCGAGCGCAGGCGAAGCGCTGGACCCCGAGCCCCTGCACTGGGACAAGAGGCAGAGTTGGGATGCAGGGGGGGTGTCTGGATGCTAAGCACAGGATCTGGCCCTAATGCAGAGCAGCCTCCTCTTGGAGGGGGGGGGGGGTGCTGGGGGTCCCTTTGGGAGCGACCCAGGCAGCATTTGCCAGGAGGGGAGAGGAGCTGGTGGAGTGATGGCCAGGGAGAGGTTTTGGATAAGGCTGGGGCTGACAGCGTCTCACAGCCCTGCCTTCTCCAGGGCAAACTGAGGCTGGTGGGTGGCTCTGCTCATGGGTACACCTCTTCACCCGTCGCACTCAGTGGGTTTCGGACGTTGCGGTCTTCAGGCTCTGTGGGGCAGTGGCAGTGGCTTCTCCCGAATCCCCTGCTGCTGCCAGCTCAGATCCTCCCGACCTGCACGCAGCGTCTGTGCAAACAGGGCTCTGAGGGGTTCCAGGGGTTACGGGGACGCCTGCCCCGCTAATGAGGCCGGGCAGGCCTGGGGCAGCTCCGCTCTCGGATTAGCAGCTGCCTGTCCCCATCCCTAATTGAATTCTCTCCCCTTCAGTTAATTCTCATGGATTTCTTGGTGCCTCCCCAGGGACTCGGCCTGTCTAACTAGTTTAGGGCCAGCTCTGCCGGTCAGAGCGTGGCCGGCTCCTGGGGATGGTGGGAGAGTTGCCTACTCCGTGTGTGCTTGTGACTGGGGTGAGGGTGATGGGCACCTGCTCCCCTGTGACCCTGTCCAGGAAGGGGCTCGTAATGGTCATTTTTGGCAAATAGGAACCATTTCCCTGTTCAGAGGAGGGTCCTGTGCATCCAGGATGCTTTCTGGGTGCTGGCAGCCCCCTTGCTTTCAGTGATGCTCATGGGAGCTCACCCTGTGCTGTGGGACCTGCTCTAGTGGAAGGTGTCCCTGCCTGTGGCAGGGGTTTGGAACGGGATGATCTCAAGGTCCTTTCCACCCCGACCCAGTCAGTGATTCCATGACCCCACAGCTGGGCTCTGCGTGTTCCGAGCCTGCTCTCTGCTCTGAGCAAGCCCCCAGCTCCGCTCACTCCCTCTCATTTCAGCGCTTTATTTTTCCCTTCCCCTTTTCTTCCCCTCCTCTTCCGACAGCTCCAAGCCCAGGTCCTGCTGAGCCGCAAGGGGAGCGGCCCCGCAGCGGGATGGAGCACGCAGGGCTGCAGACCCATCGCCGCGGGCACCCCTCGCTGCTGCCATCATCCCCTGCGAGGCTCCTGCTGCAAGGCTGGAAATAACAGGCTCTGATTTCTCGCTTTTGTCTCCCGGCAGCCGTTAGGGAACAAGCAGCTGGCCTTCCAGCAGCAGCTCCTGCAGATGCAGCAGCTCCAGCAGCAGCACCTGCTAAACCTGCAGCGCCAGGGGCTGGTGAGCCTCCCACCGGGGCAGGGCTCTGTGCCCCTGCAGACCCTGCCCCAAGGTAAGGATCCTGCGGTGAGGAGCGCGTTGGGGGGGGCCCCACGGCTGCAGCTTCTCCCTGCTGCGGGTGAGGGCGGGCTGGGGACAGGCCTGGGTCACTGCTTTTCCCATCTGAAGTTTGGGAGCTGATTGCGTTAATGCTGGAGCAGCTCGGGAGAGTTGGAGCTGGGTCATGTGCAGGGTTGGGTCCTGGTTTCCTCTTGCGTTGAGGTATGGGAACTGGGGTCTCCTCCCCTTTGGGGATGCTCTGCTGGACTCCGGGTGCTGCGGTGGGCATCACGATGGGGCTGTGTGTGCTTGGCCTTGGGTGATGATTTCCTGGTGCTGGGTCCCAAGCCAGCCCGGTGCCTGGGTGCCAGTGGGTGCTGCTGCTCCTCCCCGCTGACAGTGGGTGCTTTCTCCCTGTGCCATAGCTGTGTGCCCCTCAGACCTCCAGCAGCTCTGGAAGGAGGTCACGGCCGCCCAGCCCGTCGAGGACAGCATCAAGCAAGAAGGTCTCGACCTCACCACCAACACCTCCAACTCTACCTCGTTTTCGGCCGCCAAGGTCTCGCCTCCCATTTCCCATCACCCTCTGCCCAATGGACAGAGCACCATGCACACGCCGAGAAGGGACAGGTAGAGCCGGATCTGGCACTTTGTGTTTTTACCCCAGGAGAGGTGGGAAGGGGCTGGGATCCATCACCTGTGGGGCTGGGAACAGGGTTGGGAGGGTTCAGCCCACCTCATCAGTGTTTGCCTGCACTGATGCGCCCACAGAGGACAGGGAGACATCACCGTGGGGTCTCCTGAGAGCTGGCCCCATGCCTAGGAACGCTGGAGCATCGTGGCTGCTCCATCTGATGAGCCCTTTCCCTCTTCTGCAGCTCTTCCCATGAAGAGACCCCTGGCTCCCACCCGCTCTATGGCCACGGAGAGTGCAAGTGGCCTGGCTGCGAAACCCTCTGTGAGGACCTGGGACAGTTTGTCAAGTAAGTGCTCTGCTTTTTGAGGGAGGTCTTCCCAGAGGAGGGGGCAGCCCCGCTCTCAGGCCAGGACACGTGGGGCTGGTGGAAGGGAAACAGGTCCAGACACCCCAAAGTCTGTCCATTGCTGGAGAGGCCCATGCAACAGGGAGGAAGCACACCCGGGGTTGCTGCTGGAGGAGAGGAGCCCCAATGCAAGGGGCAGGACAGGAGCAGGCAGGAGTCTGCAGCTCCCTCCTGGGGAGGGGGGCAAGAGGAGGGAGGAAGCAGATGGCAGCGCGGCAGCCGCTGACACCGCTCGTGGGCTCCGGCGCTGACTGATTAACTCTGCTGTCGAGGAGCCCTCTGCCAGCGTCAGGGTCAAACAAATTGTTTTCACGCTTCGTCAGAGGTTTACTTAATTAGTTCATTTGCAATTAGATCTCTTTGTAGCCGGGATTTTTAGCAAAGACATCAGAAGGAACTGACGGGCTTGCTTCCTCCTTCCCCCCCCTCCTTCTCTCTGGCTGGCTGCTCAGTGGCCAAGATGCACCAGAGTGCGCTTCGCTCGGCGGCGGTAAGGTTTGGGGGTGTTATAAACTGGTCCCGTCTGCTGCCACACACTCAGAGCTGGCTCCGATGGGGCCATTCCCTGGCCTCCTCATTCCCAGGGGAGGAGCTGGGCAGAGGCTTTGCACAGGGGGATGAGGAGGAGTGAAAGCAGAGCCGGGGAGCGTTGCTTGGTGGCGATGGAGTGAGTGAATGAGTCAGACCCCTGTGTCTTCCTTCCTTCCTCTGACTCATGGCGTGAACCTAGATAAGGCATCTCCGCCTGCCTCTCCAAACATGTTTACATGGCACAGGGCAGATGAGCAAGCTCTGGTTTGGAAGCTGAGGTTGGCAGGGGTTTGCCAGGGCTGGATGGTGGTGCCAGCAGAGCCTTGCTATGAGTCCTGTGTCCCCTAAGCACACCTAGAGCTTCAGGGGGAAGCTTCCCAAGGGGTAGCATCCCTGACAGCACTAGTGCAGTGTGTCTGTCCAACATGAGTGCATGCTGGCGTGTGGGACAAACTCCCAGCTCCCAGAGGCTGAGCCCAGCTGCAGTGTGGACCTTGCTTTGAGTCCAGGCACTGGATTTGAGCCTGTTCTGAGCATCCTCTCCATGGAGTAGCTTGGAAACCTCAGCATTGGCGTAGAGAGGGGCAGCACATCCTTTGAGCAGTGATGAGACTCGGTGGGACACGTGTCCCTTGTTCCTGCTCAACACAGCTTAGGTTCTCAATAGCTTCTTCCCTGGAGAAGCAGCCGTGCCCTCGGTCTGTTTGAGGAGCAGCGCAGGGCTGACACTGCTGGGGTTTGCTCACACACAGTCCCAGTTACCTGACCTGGTTTTGCAAGTTGGGGCTGGAAGTCTCACAAACAGCAGGGTGAGACTCCTGCGTCTTCCACATCCGGATCCTCCTGAGGCACCTTCTCCTGCGATGCCTCAGCAGAAATAGCTCAGTTTTGGTGCTGGAGAGCATTGGCCCTGGGACACCTTTGTGTTTCCCAGCAGTGGGTCCCAGGTACAATTTGCCCTTGCACCCACCATCCCCTCTCTGACCTGTCCCACTCCTTTCAGTGAGGACCCTCTGGGTTTGCACCCACCCCAGCAAGGACATGGCCCAGCCATTACTGTAGTGATAGGACAAGGGGTAATGGGTTAAAACTGAAACAAGGGAAGTTTAGATTGGATATAAGGAGGAAATTCTTTCCTGTGAGGGTGCTGAGGCACTGGAATGGGTTGCCCAGAGAGGCTGTGAATGCTCCATCCCTGGCAGTGTTCAAGCCCAAGTTGGACAAGGCCTTGGATGATACGGTTTAGTGTGAGGTGTCCCTGCCCATGGCAGGGGGGTTGGAACTTGATGATCTTCAGGTCCTTTCCAACCCGAACTGTTCTATGATTCTATGTTGTCAGGACTGGATGCGTCCCTAGGCTGCCAGTGTGCTGAGGACTCCCACAAGGATGTCCCTGGCTCTGTAGCAGTGTCCCTGTCACCACTCCCAGGGGTCCTTCCCCTCCCCAAGAAGGAAGGAGGGTGGCAAGGCCCAAAGGTCCTTGTGTTCCATAAAGTGCTTTATAAACACAAGGCACAAAAGTGGTAGGATGAGGAGCACCCTGGAAATGTCACTTTCTGCCTTCAGGGCTTTCCTTAGAGGGTGTAAGTAAACCTCCATAGTGCCACCTTTGTCCTGGGAACCTGCTGCTCAGGTCCTCCAGGGTGCCTCCTGCCAGCCAACCTTCTCAAGGACTTCCCATCAACCGTGACTGCTCCTGAGCACCACGGGGCCTCCCCAGGGCTGGTTATCCACAGCCAGGCTCCAGCCCGGGGTTGGGGAGGAGGCACAGCCCGTTTTGGTTGCCCGTTGTGCCTCAGTTTCCTTTCAGCTCTTCACACTTCAGGCAGTGGTGCCAGAGCATCCCGGGCAGCAGCTTGCATTGTGTGCCTGGCATGGCTGGTGCAGGCAGTTCAGGGCAGGGCCGATGCCAAGTGTGGTCCCAGCGAGGGGGCTGCATGTTGGGCACATCCAGGCATCGACACCGGCGTTCTCCTCCCCAGACACCTCAATACAGAACATGCACTTGACGACCGAAGCACGGCCCAGTGTCGAGTCCAGATGCAAGTGGTACAGCAGCTGGAAATACAGGTGGGTGCTGCCCAGCTCCTAAGGACGCAGGTTTAGACAGCATCTCCTTCCTGCACCGTGTCGTGACTGCTCTCTGTGGGATGGGGTTAGTGAGGTTGGAGACAGTAGTGGGATAACCAGCCACCCTAGGGCTCATTAAAGCAGCCTTCCTGAATCGTGCTGGATCTGGGCCACATCCTGGTGGAGATCAAGACTTGGGGGACCCTCAGATTGGTTCCCCCTGTGATACCAGCCCCCCTGCATGATTGTGATGGGGCTGGAAGAAGGGATAACCCACCCTTCCTGCCCAAAGTGTCCCAGGGAGTACAATGAGATGCCATTCCAGACACCTGGCACACGTGCTGCTGGGGGGTGCATGTCCACAGGCAGGACATGACCCTTCTCCAGCCCAGCAAGAGCCATAGGACTGCATGGCTCTTTGGAAATCAGGCCACTTATTTTGGTCTTTGGAGCCCAACTTCAGGGGGCTATTTATGGAAAGCTGGTTCTTTAAATAGCATCTCCAACTCCCCGATGTGTTGTGTGGAATTTGGTTAATAGGAAAGGGGAGAAATGGGAGGAAAGGGAGGGGTTTCATCTTGGGACCTGAAAGCAGGACATGGCAGGGTCTCTGTTAGAGGGTTGCTCACCGGGACCCCCACGGCGTTACAGTGCCTGGGGGCCTGGGTGTTTGGCCAGGGGCTGGCGGGAGCTCAAAGCACTTCACACCCATCGCTGTGTGTCACCGTGGGTGCCACGATGGGGGATAGTGCCCCTAGGGAGCAACAGGCCATGATGTGAGCAGCCTTGGGAGCCCCTGCCTGGCGTTACAATAACAGGGGCTGCAGAAGGGACCACGCAGCAAACCCCTCCCAGGCGGGAGGGCTGCGAGGCTGGGCGAAGCCGCGTGATCGCATCCTGCTCTCCAGCCCTCGCTAAAGCGAGAGGTTGAAAGCAATTACTGGGGCTTAAAGTGGGGAGGGAAAAGGGAGGCGGGGGGGGAAGCTGAAGGGCGAGGGGAAAGCGGTGTGTGCACAGAGGAGAACCTGCCACCGGAGCTACCAATTATAAAGTTTTCAGCATGGAGCTCCCGCTGTGCCGGCGGAGAGCGTCTGCATCACGAGGGGAGACCTGTCAGCTCTAATGAGCACCACGACAGCACGAAAGCGTGTGAGCTGCTCCAAACTTGCAGCAAACTCTGCTCTGGCTCCTGCCTTTAACTCCTTCCTCGCCCGAGTCCCAGCTCCGAGAAGGGGGCTTGGCTGGAGGAGCTGGCAGCACGTGGGGACGCGGAGCCCTGAGCTTGAGGGGTCTCGGTGGAAAGGGAAGGTGACGGGAGGAGAGCGGGTGTCAGATCCCATCGCCTCCGCCGGCCTCAAAGTCTCCCCTGGTGCCACAGTGAATATTTCACCCTTCTCCGCACTCCGGGGAGTAAACGGGGGGGGGGGGAGCGCGCAATTAGAGCGATGCTGTGCGTCCGGGTGGATGGATGGAGGGATGGGGGGATGCACAGGGGCCTGCTGGGGAGTGGGAGGCAGCAGGGACTGGGGGAAGGCAAAGGGGATGGGGATGTGGGGCACAGGGAGGAGAGGGATGCAGTGGGACGGGGCCGTCACTGAAGCTGTGGTTGTGGGTGATTGCACACAGGGAGCTGAAGCAGGGTCCCTTGTGTCCCACGCCATGGGTGCTGCAGCCCCCACCCCAGAGCCACTTCACTGGGCTCTTGGAGGGGCTCCACGTGGGGTAGGAGGTAGCTCCTGCAGGGCTGATGGAGGATGCTGGGGGCTCGGTGGGCAGCTCTGTGCAGGCCATGGGTACCTCTGCAGTGAGCACCAGCACTGCCTGACCATCTCCCTTCTGCTTCTTGCTTTCTGCTTCCTGCAGCTGGCAAAGGAGAGCGAGCGTCTCCAAGCAATGATGGCCCATCTTCACATGAGACCTTCAGAGCCAAAGCCTTTCAGCCAACCTGTAAGCCTGTGTCCCCCTCCTGGCCCTCTCCTTCCTCTTCCCTTGCCGCTGGCTGCTGTGCTCTCCTTGCCTTGTGCATGGTCACTACAACCCTTTGTGGCCCTGATGGGCTCCATGGGATGGGTATGCCCTGACCACCCTCAGCACACGTGGCCTGGTCCCTTGTGCAAAGGCATCAAGCAGGAGTGTAACACAGCCCATGTCGGTGGGTTGTGTTGCTCAGCCAGCTTGGAACATGTAGTGGAGGCATCCCATCCCATGGGTGCATCTCATTGCACAATTACATCCCATCCTATGGGTGCATCTCGTTGCACGATTACATCCCATCCCATGGGTGCATCTCATTGCACAGTTACATCCCATCCTGTGGGTGCATCTCATTGCACAATTACATCCCATCCCATGGGTGCATCTCATTGCACAATTACATCCCATCCCATGGGTGCATCTCGTTGCACGATTACATCCCATCCTATGGGTGCATCTCGTTGCACGATTACATCCCATCTCATGGGTGCATCTCATCGCACAGTTACATCCCATCCCATGGGTGCATCTCGTTGCACGATTACATCCCATCTCATGGGTGCATCTCATCGCACAGTTACATCCCATCCCATGGGTGCATCTCATCGCACAGTTACATCCCATCCCATGGGTGCATCTCATCGCACAGTTACATCCCATCCCATGGGTGCACCTCATCGCACAGTTACATCCCATCCCATGGGTGCATCCTCTTCCATGGTTGCCTCCCACCCCTGTTGAGCCCAGCAAGTCCCCCCCACAAGCCCTTCTTCCCTTGTGGCACGAGCGGCTCAGCCCTGCCGCTGCCTTCCCCACACTGGTACCCAACAGCCACCCTCCCTCCTGTCCATGCAGCTGAACCTGGTCTCCAGTGCCACCCTCTCCAAGAGCACTTCCGACACGTTCCCTGATGGCTTACCTCATCCCCCCACCTCCGCCACGGCGCCCATCACCCCGCTGCGGCAGGGCCCCTCCGTCATCAGCTCTTCCACTTTACACAACGTGGGGCCCATCCGCAGGAGAAACTCGGAGAAGTTCTGCACCCCAATATCTTCAGGTGAGCTCCTGGGTGCAGCCCAGCCCCCTCCATCACACGGCCCCCAGGTCCCAAAGTGGGTCCCTTCACCCCCTTCCCCCCCTGTTTCTTGTCCCCCCTCCAGAACTTGCACAGAATCACGAGTTTTACAAGAACGCCGATGTCCGGCCGCCCTTCACGTACGCCTCCCTCATCCGGCAGGTGAGTGGCTCTGGGGTTCACTCTGCATCCCAAAACCTGCCCGCAGGAGCCTCGGGCAATGCTTTCCCCCTTTCCGTGCCCTGGGCACCCCCCAGTGCCTGCTGAACCCCCTCATGCCTCACCATGGGTGGGTGTTGAACCGCACCAAGGCGAGGCGAGTGATGCTCCTTTTCCCCCCTCTGGCTTCCCAGGCCATCCTGGAGACCCCCGACAGGCAGCTAACGTTGAACGAAATCTATAACTGGTTCACACGGATGTTTGCCTACTTCCGGAGGAACACGGCTACCTGGAAGGTGAGAGCAGCCCTGGGGCTCACCCCGTCCCGCTGGGGCTGCAGGAGATGCTCTGGCTTATGTGGGCATCAGCGGTAGCGGATCAGTTCATTGCACAGTTGGTGGTTTTGTGGGTAAATCCCATACTTTTTCCTTCTGAAATGCATCCCCCTTGTCTGAGGATGCATTGTCCATGCAGTGGGGTATGGCAAAGTAGTGTAGGAATCCAGGTTGGAGTGAAGTCACCCACTGCAGCACCAGGAGAAGGGCAGAGAAAAGAGCGAGACACTGGAAATGCCAGCTCAGGTTGGTGATGATCCAGTCGGATGGTGTGCTCAGAGCAGGATGTGCCACAGCCAGGTGAGGACAGTCTGCGAGGGGCAGCTTGTGGGTGCAGGGGCTGCTCCCCCCTTGGGTATGTAGAAATCAAGAACTGAGAAAACCCATCTCCAAGAGCAGGGGGGTGGTGAGAAGGAGCAGTTATTGCCCTAACACAGATTTATTTGTTGTTTCCTGCTGCGTGTATTTACTGAGCTTCCTCCTGCAAGAAGTGGCAGGGGGAAACCGACCCTTAATGAAATCAGGAGTGAGGGGCAAGCGAGATGGTGCCTTTTGAAAGGGTTAAGGAGGAATCGGTTCTTCTGGAGCCCCCGTGTGTCCGGAGCTGCCTGCAGCAGGGGTTTGCTTCTCACAGCAAACTTCGGCTGAATACCGGTTGCTTTGGCTCCAAAGTGCTTTGGGTGGCCCCTGGCTTCAGCATGGCTCATCCTGAGCATCCCAAGGGTAGCGGTGGGAAGGAGCAGGGTGGTCAGAGGTGCCGGGGTCATTCTTGGTGCTGGCAGTGGCCCGGCATCAGTCTGGGGTCCCCCTCATGGCACTCGTGCAGCACTGCAGGCCGGCGGCACATCCCTGGGCTGGCCTCAGCCCATGGGGACACCCCCAGGGTTGGAAGCTAATGGGGAGCCCTGGGACAGGGAGCCTGGAGCAGCTCCAGTGCCTCGCCATGCAGTGCAGAGCAGGGACTGTCCATGGCAGCGCTTTACCTGCTCCGTGCCTCAGTTTCCCCATCTGTGCAGCGAGATAGTGGCAGCTGAAAACGTCTTTTTCCTGCCCTTTTATTGCCTGAAAGGAATAAGTATTTTGTTTTTTTTTTTTCCTTTGGGGCTCCCCACACCCCTTGTTCCCCAAGGGCAGAATTGGTGTCTTAGAGAAGGGCATCCCCCAGCCCTTCTGGTTCCCTTGTTGCTACTCTTTATCTGGTCCATGACCAGGAGGGGATTAAAAAGAGCTGCAGGGGGATGCTTCCCTTCACAACCCTCAGTGTCCAAGGCCAGGCATCTTTTGAAGGAGGAGGAAAAAATACTGTATTTCCACTCTTTGGAGAACCCACCGTTCCTGCTGTGCCTTCTCCTTGTCTCTGTAGCTTCCCCTGGGATGGGGCAGGGGTGCTGGGTACCCCATCCCCACCATGGGAGACCCCCAGCACGGCACAGGGAGCAGGGCTGGGGATGTAGAGCAAACATCATTAGCAAAGACAGATGAGAAGCAAACAGAGCAGCCAAGTCTGGCACTGAACAAATACTCTCTCAAAATACAAAAGCCACGTTAGGATGAGGCAGGGGACCCGCTGCCAACACCGGGGGGAGGATTCCCATGTTGGGGATCTCACCCAGCATCTCTCCCATGTCCTGGGACCGGGTCGCTGCCTGACACCCAACACCAGGGATGGGGCATCCCAGGCTCTGGTGAGGCTCAGTCACATCCTGCCCAGTGCCAGGATTCATTGCACTTTTGCCTTTGCAAGCACATACCCACTGATGCCCCTGAGCAGGGGATGTCACTGTGGGGACAGGGGGGACGTGTGCCTCCATGTGCAGGAAAGGTTTCAGCTTTGCCACGCTTTTTGCCTTTCATCAGGGCTTTGTTTGGACGAGGAGTCCCCTGCACACACAGGAAGGAGGAAGGGGAGCATGGGCAGGATCCGGGAGGAATTCCTGTGTTTGCTCAGCAGGGGACAGGGGTTCAAGGGCAGCGACAGGACCCAGCCCTGGTTGGGCTTCAGACCCCCAGGCATGGGATGCAAGGGTAGAATTGGGGCCTGGGCTCATCCTTATCGAGAGCAGCCGGACCCTCCTCAATGGGTGATGCCAGTTTGGGGTGTGGGGACCAGGGATGCCTCAGTCCCATGTCCCAGGTGGAGCGCATCCCTCTGGGTAATGGCACCAGGCTCTACACGCACTGAGCATCACCCGAGGAGCTGGGCCGCTGTGTTCCTGGAGTGACCCAAGGGTTCCCAGTTATCCCAAAAAATCCCATCAGACAGCACAGATGAGCCTGAATCTCCTTCCCCAGGAAGGAGCCAGGGAGCTGCTTGCAGAGCTTCCCTTCAGGCTGGCTCTGCCAAATGGGGAGAGGAGCCAGTGGTGCCAAATGAGGTGCCAAATGAGGAGAGGAGCCAGGAGCCTTCGCATCCCTGCTCCTGTGCAACTGCTCTCACTGGGGCTGTTGTGGCAGCACCAGGCACCATGGCACAGCCAGGGACACTGGGGCAGCAGGCACAGGGCAGCAGCTGGAGGATGGATGGATGGATGGATGGATGGATGGATGGATGGATGGATGGATGGATGGATGGATGACGAGGGAAGGATGGATGGATGGATGGATGGATGACGAGGGAAGGAGCCCAGCTTTGGTTGGTTTTGTCCTTAAGTCAGAAAAGAGAAGGGGTGATGGTGCAATGTGATGAGGTTCTGGGAACTCCAACACTTCCCAGCGCCGGGTCGGGGTGGGGGTTCGGTCCTTGTGTCTCCTTTTGCCTTGTTGTGTTGGCCAGCTCCTTTGTTTATCCAGCCCCTGTTCGACCTTTTCAATTGCTGTTAATGTTTTAGCGGAACGAATTAGTCTCTCATCACGAATCAGGACTCGAAATAAAAAAAAAAAAAAAAGAAATAGAAAAAAAACCCCCCTCCGAGGCCAACTTCCTGAAATTGGGGTCATTCTCATTTGCAAGGCAGAGAATCCGAGAACCTTAATGCAAGGAAATTTATTCAAAGGCAGAGCCCCGGCGTGATTAGGCCCTTTGTAATTATAGCTCGGAGAGATTCCACTCCAGCCTCCTGCCTCCCTCATGGATTAGCAAGTGAGTCGGAAAAATACACAGGATTTAATTAGAGGCAAATTAAAATTGGTAATGAAATAGGGGCAGTAGCAAATGGCAGGGAGTTGGAAGGGGAAAAGGGAGCTGGTATCTCTCGGGGCTGCGCTGTCTGCCTACGTGTGCGTCTCTTTATTTTACATTTAGAAATGTAAAGATGGTCGATGTAAAGAAGAAAGGGAGGGAAAGGACCAAAAAGGGAGGGTGGGGGGAAGAAAAAAGAAAGGGAAAGATTAACTGGCTTTGCTTAACATCGCTGAGAGAGCTGCGGCAGAGAGGGCGGCTCTGCCCCTGGGTCCTTGCTGGCGCCGCTTATCCCTTGTCCCACACTGTCTTCATCTTCCTCAGCATCTGGCCAAGGTCCGTGAGGCAGGGCTGTGTCCCACGGGTGGTTTGGGGGCTCAGCTCCCACCCCCCTTGCTGATGATGGGGTGAGCGCTGGCCGTGTCCCTCTGTGGCTCTGCAGAGCGTTGGGCTGCGAACAGGACAGCCCAGGGACATGGGGAGCCGGAGGGGCTGGGTGAGGAGGAGGATGGTGATGAAGAGGAGGGGTCTGGGCAGCGGGATGAGGGCTGCGCCGCTGAGCTCTCCTGCCTGCTCTGCCTGCAGAACGCCGTCCGCCACAACCTGAGCCTGCACAAGTGCTTCGTGCGCGTGGAGAACGTGAAGGGAGCCGTGTGGACCGTCGATGAGCACGAGTACCAAAAGCGAAGGCCACCAAAGATGACAGGGTGGGTCCTTTCCCATGGGACACCTTCCCCCCCCACACACACACCTCTGCCAACCCCTGGAGCTCATCCCTGCATCCTTCTGCTTTCTCTTCCTGCAGGAGTCCGACTTTAGTCAAAAACATGATTTCAGGACTCGGTTACGGAGCACTTAATGCAAGTTACCAGGTAAGGACCCAGTCCTGTCCCTGGCAGGGCTCTGGGGGGCCTAAACCTTCACTCTGCAGCCCTGTGTGGCCTCGCAGCCTCCGTACCCGAGCCGATGGCACTCTCTGTTGCAGGCTGCGCTGGCAGAGAGCAGCTTCCCGCTGCTGAACAGCCCCACCATGATCAACACGAGCTCCGCCAGCGGCATGCTGCACGTGGGCCACGATGACGTGAGCAGCACCGTGGAGCAGGTCAACAGCAACGGCAGCAACAGCCCGCGCCTGTCCCCGCAGCAGTACAGGTCAGCCAGGGCATGGGGGATGCTGCTGGTGGGTGCTACTGGGAGGGCTGGGAGCAAATGGGAGCGCCGGGAGCTGCTTGTTGCCTCCTGTGGCTCTTGTCCCCCAGGGGAGGTGATGATTGGACCGAGGGGGATCAGCACCCCGAGGCTGAAGGCTTCCCTCCCCGCAGCCATCCCGTGCACGTGAAGGAGGAGCCAGCCGAGGCAGAGGACGACAGCAGGCCCGTCTCGCTGATGGCCACCACCAACCAGAATGTGACGATTCCCGACGACAGGGACCTGGAGGAGGAGCTGCCGGTGGAAGACTTGTCCTAAGGACCCCTTCCTCCTCCCCACCGAGGGGCAAAACCCTTCCCACCATCCCGGCCGGAGACCAAGCGACGGCTCCCACCTCCCCAAGGTGACCTTCGGCGTTAACCTGTTTTTTAAAGGCACTTCCACAAAGCAAAAGGGTTTCCTTGGTGCAACGACCTGTTGCTGACGGCGCGTCCCTCACGCTCCCCACTGCCCCGCGCTGCGCCCCGGTGACTGACTGAGCCCTGCTTCAGGGGACATCCCTCGACATGAGAAGCGAAAACCCAAGAGCTGGACTTTTTCTCCCCTCCTCCCTTGGTTAGTGAGTGGTGAACGAGGATGGTAGGTTGTTTCTGTCCGAAATGGTCCCTCCTTCCTTCCCTGTGCGAGGGAAGGCAGCTCCGTCCCCTCTTCCCTGCGGTGCTCGAGCCTCCAGCAGCGACCGCCCCGGCAAGGGAAGGCGATGGCAGGAACCCGCTGTCATCTCTCCCATCACCCAATGGGGTTTGCACTAGGAGGGACTGTGGACCCTGCCCATGTGCTGCTTCCACCTGGCTTTGGGGGAAGAAACAGCAGAAACAGGAGGCAAGTCCTCTGCCATGGTCTGGATGTGAGGCTTGCACCGTTGTCTCCCGGCTGGGCAAGGATGAGGACCGGTGCTTTAGTGGGACTGTGTCCCCTTGGCCTTGCCACCTCTAGCAGGTCCCTAAACCACCCAGCCCCTGGTCCACGATGGTGGGGAGCTGGTGGCACCAGCAGTGGTGACCGTCTCCAGCCAACCACCAGTGAGGGCACGGCTCCTGCTTCCTTCTTGATGTCATCTGCAGCAGGTTACACCCCTCTCTGTGGCCCAACTTCGGCTTCAGGGGGGGCTCCTGACCCCTGTGTGCCCGATCCCTGCTCCAAAGGCTCCAGGGTGTCCGAGGCTGCAGCTCGGCCATCCTGCTGGTGGCAAAGCCAAATCAGTGAGCCCTTGTGGTGGCCAAACCTGGCCGTGGCCGCTGAGCCGAGCCTGCTGCCTCCGGGGCTCCCACTTTCATCTTGTCCTTTCGTTATCCTTTTGTGTGCGTCCAGATGGGAAGATACCAAAAGATTTCTAGAGACAGAAGGTCCGTAGTTCAGGTGAACAGATGGTATTAATGCCAAAAAGAAAAGAAATATTAATAATAACGAGAACAACACAACCAAACACCCCTCTTCTCCCTGCTCTTTCTTTCGGTGGTGGTGATGCGGGTACCCAGCGCTGGGCTCCTCCTCTCCTCCTCCACGGCCGGGCTGGCACTGGCTGTACTGGTACGCAGCGGGGTCTGCTGTGATGGGCACGGAGCTCTCCCAAAGCGACCCAGAGCACTGCTCCATCCTCCCAGTACCCTGGGTTGACTGTGCTGGGGTCCTGGCAGCAGCAGCCCCCTGGGAGCTGTGGTTTGGGTTGAAAATGCCACACGCAGCTTTGGTTCAGGGGGTACGTGTTTGTCCCCATGCATCACCCCTGTGACATCCCCCGGGGGATCTCAGCCCTGTGCCACGTGTCCCTCATGCAAGCCTGCACCTCAGAGCACCCTTTTTGCTGCTGCTTGCATCCTCCATGCCCACTGCACCCGTGGGTGAGGCTGGGTTGCCCTGGGCCACCCAGCTACTGGTCCAGGGGATGCTGAGACCCTCAAGGAGCTGGGCTGGGGAGGGGGGCGCACATCATGGTGAGGCTGTAATGGGAGTTAAAACCCAGCCCCACACACGGGTGCTGAGGCTGTCCCAAGCCATTCCAGGCTGTTCCATGCCATTCCGTACCGGCCTTCGCTAGGTGTCTCCACTCGACCCGTGTTTCCTGCTCCCGCCTGCCTCGCTGCTGCCAGCACGCTGCTCTGAGGAGGTTTGTTCTCCAGGCCAACGGGGTTCTCCCCTTTTCCCCGGCCTCCCCTGGCTTCATCCTCACTCCATTGGACACCAAAGACCCTGCCTGGGCTGGGGGCAGGAGCCAAACCCTGTCTCTTGCAGCCCCGGCCCCCCCCCGAAGGAGTTTTTCCTTCGTGTTTTTAATGTGATTTTGTTCAACCAGGCTTCATTTTAAGTTATTGTTTCTCCCACATTTACAGCTGCAGAGGGAGGTGGCAGCACAGCCTTGCTGCTCTCCCCATACCAACGGGGGGGGGGATGCCCAGCCTGGGTGTTGGTGTGAAGCCCCCGTCTCCATGTCCATGTTCACCCTTGGCAGGACATCCCCTGCTTCCATCCAGGCTTTTGGGGTTCGGTTTGCATCTCCCTGATGGGGGCTATTGTGTCTCTTAGGGCTGTGCCAGCGCCCCGTGTCACCCCTCGTGCTGCTCTAGGACACCCCAGTGCCCCTGCAGAGGGGATAACCCAGCCTTGCACTGGGGCACTTTGTTCTCTCCATGGAATGGGCTTTGCAGCATGGCTGATGCTGCGGGTACGGGGCGGTGGGTGCTGCAGGGACACCTTCCACTAGGGCAGGTTGCTCCAAGCCCCATCCAGCCCAGCCTTGAGCACTGCCAGGGATGGGGCAGCCACAGCTTCTCTGGGCACCCTGTGCCAGCGCCTCAGCACCCTCAGGACAAGGAGGTTCAGGACCTGCTCCCCTTCATTGGTTCTTCTGGGTCCTTTCCCTTCGCCTTCCTCCTGCTCTTCAAATTTAATGCCAATAAGCTCTGCAGCCCCCAGGTTTCTGCACTGGGGCAGCAAAACCCAGAGGTGGTCCTGGCATGGAGCGCACCCGGCACCGGCGGCTCCTGCTCGGGGTGGGATTTCTAGGTTTAAGTGTTTCCAGAGGTACAGACATCCCGAAACCCTGCCCAGGACCTCCAGAGCCAGACCGGTCCAAGCCACAGCCCCAGCTCTGCAAGGACAACCTGGCACCTTCCCCTCCTCACCACGCATTCCAATAGGTCCTTAGCTGCCACCCTGGCTCCCAAGAGCACTATATATATATTATATATATATATATAAATAAATATATAAATGTAAAGGAGTTTTTTCTCTTCAAACACATGCCCAGGTTTGGGAAATCCTATGGGCTCCATTGATTCCTCTTCCCCCCCTCTTGCTGAGATGGGAATCGCAGTGGGTGATTGCACAGGTTTGATGCTTGGGGGTGAATTTAATTCATCCTCTTACACCCAGCCTGGCTGTTCCATGGGTCCCATCAGCTCCTGGTACCATCATGCCCCCCCCTACCCCTTCACCCTGCCGGGTGGCTCTTTGCTGATTTGGATTTGAACTCATTCTACGTGGCTTACCTCAAACTCACGCCAAGGCAGGGATGGGGGGGGAAGGAAGGTAATGGGCCAAACGCATCGTGTGGCAGAGCTGTGTGTCTGTATATACTGAGATATATATATCTGGTCAAACCTACCAGCACCAACTGTGCTCTTTTTTGTTTCCTCGGGGTATTTTTTGTTTGATTTCCTGGTTTTTCCCACTCTGGGGCAGTTCTGCCAAGGGAACGTGTGTGTGGCCACCTCTCTGTAAGTAAAGGCGTTTTCCTGGTATCTCCCACTGAAGGAATTCCTCATTTTTCCATGTCTTTTTTTTTTTCTTCCCTCAATGATTTTTATTCCTCACCCCCAATAGCTAGAATAGATAGAGCTGGGGGGGGGGGGCAGAAACCAGTGCTCAAAGGGAAGGGGTGCTGGTAGCACTGGGGAGCTGCTGGCGAGGCGACGGGGCAGCAGCAGCCCAACCTGCATCAAACCAAAGGGTTTCTTTGCTTTGTTTACAGCCTCACGCCCCAGAGGGTCTCCCTGGATCTAGGTTTTTGTCCTGGAAGCATTGGGGAAGGTGGGGACAGGCCCGAGCCAGGGGCTCACCCAGGCCACAACCTCATCCTTTATCTCCCCCCCCCAACACACACACACTTTGTTTCTCCATCCTCTTCGGCCTGGGTGGGAGGTGATGCTGGGGAGGTGGGACAGGTCCACGGGGGCTGGAGGAAGGTGGGGGGGAAGGATGTGTATAAAGTGACCGGACCCCTTCCCTCCCGCTGCATCCCCTGTGCTGTATAAAGGAACGAGCATTGCTGTGTATTTGTACTCTGAACCTCCGTGTGTCTGCGTTGGCAGACGGTAAACCCTTGTACAGTAGGAATAGCTGCATGTAATCTGTATGGACAACGGCATTATAAAATGCAATAAAATAAATTACCTATCATGCTGCTGTGCTGCCTGCTCTGTTCTGATCATTGATGTAAAGAAATCCCGGCCCGTTTTCATCCTTGCAGGCTCTTGAGCAGCGAGAGAGCGATGGTCAGCCTGGTTTTGGAGGGGAGAGAAGTGACTCTCTCTGCTCTGGGGCAGTGTAGGTCCCTGTACCTACTCCTTCCAGCACCAATGGCCGGGACATTGGGTATCCATTAGGAAGCACTCATGGAGGCTCCAGAAGCGGGGCCGGGTTTGCAGCCTTGAAATCTACCCCTTAAAAACGTGAGGCTTTGGCACATCCCTCAGATAATGGACTTCCAGGGGCATGGAGGCTGTGCCATGGGGAGCTTCTGGCTGTTGCTTCGTGTTCTTTTCCTGCACATCCTCACTCCGAGTCGGGGCCAGAGCTGCAGCAAAGGGGACGGGGATGGGGATGGGGCAGGAGCGCATTTCAGCCCTGAACTGGCTGCCTCCCAGCTGCTTCCAACCCCTGCCAATATGAACAAGCTGCTGCAGCCCCTTTCCCTGCGCTGCTCCAGCTCGGCCAAACTTCCTTAATCTTTTTTCCAGTGGCTTTTTTCCAGGGTTCCTGAACCACATCCAGCTCCACAGTGGCTTCCTGGGGCGCGCTGACCGTGCCACCACCAGCCCCTCGCAGCCACGGGCGCAGGAGCCAGCAGAGGGGCCGTGTCCCTGTCCCCCAGGGGCTCGTGGCCGTCGGTCACTGCGGGAGCATCTGGCTTTGATGGATTTAACACGTGGAGAAAGAGCTTTTAACTTGTAAACTAGGAACTTTTTTGGCCTTTCTGTTTTGCTGCAGACATGGAAGGTCTCTTGCTTTGATTGCAAAGCCAGTATGTGGATGGGGGATGAGACTGGGACCAGCCACCCCTTCCCCTCATGAAGCTGAGTAATTCCATGCACCTAGAAAACCATGGTATCCTCTTTGTCATCCCCACCCCTCTCATTCTCTTCCCTCCAGAGCTCATATCCACAAGGATGCCACCCTTCTCTCCATCTTCGCCCTAAATCCATGAGTTTTCACCCACCCCTGAAGCACGGTGTGGGGTTTGCTGCTGCGAGCTGAGCCCCTGGGGAGAGGCCTTCAAACAGTTCAACAGACCAGATGAAAGGAGGGAATGCTTTTGGTGGGGTTGGTTTGCCTTGGTTTTTAATGAGCATTAAGGAATTGCAACAACAGGGGCCAGGAAAGGATGTGGCCAAAGCATTCTTGCTCTGAGATCTGTTCCCCTCCCTGGGCCGCTGATGTCTCCGGGGTCTCTGGTCCATGTGGCTGTAACCCTTGGTGGGATGCTCTGACAGACATTGATGTGTGTCCATGGCACGACACGTGCTCGGCTCGATGCTCCGGGACAGGAGGGGGAAGTCTTTAACTTTTTCCTTCTTCAAAAGACAAATGTTCACAGGGCCCTTTTTTATATTAAGTTTTTTATATATTAAACGTCTGTTTCCTTCTTTTTCTCTTTTTTTTTTCATTATTTACAGAAATAGCCCGTGACTCATCAGAATCCGTGAGCAGAAAACAGTGGGGTCATTCACTGCGCACCCAGCGAGCCGGGGCCTCCCCCCCTCCTCGCACAGGAGCCGTTGAGAAGCTCGGTTTTGTTTGGGGACTCGGTGTGGATGGATGAGGGGTTATGGCTCCGGCCCCGAGCAAACACGGCTCTGTCTGCACAGCCCCGCTCTGTGCTGACTCCACGGCCCCATTCATGGCAGGTCAGCGGCGGCGTGGGGCTGGGCCCCGTGCTTGTTTTCGCATCGCCGGCGTCTGCTGCTCTCTATTTATTTTCCTTTCGGAGCAGCAAAGGGATCGATGCCGGGAATGTTGCAAAACCCTCTTTGAACTGCACGAGTCGAGGCTGCAGCGCTGAAACCCTTCCCGGAGCCGGGAACGTCGGGGAGGTTGAAATCTCTGCCCAACGCTTGTGCATCACGGGGCAGCAGCAGGTCCAGGGTGATGGGGAGCAGACCCCGCTCCCCCCCAACAGAGCCCAGGAGCGGGGAGGATCCGAGTGGATTTACTTTGGCGGGCGAGGAGCCGGGAGCGGGTGCCAGGGGTTGTGAATGTGGGTCAGTGCAGTCACACACCTACAGAAACAGCCTTGTGTTCCAAAATACAGCCGGCTCCCACAGAGCTCCTCGGGCTGTATCGCAGGGTTCATCCGGGTGTAGCAGTGCAGGACTAACGTGCCCCCAGCCCTGCTCCTCCCGTCCCCAGCACCCTGCTAACGCTGCTCCAGGGGCATTTCCTTTAGAGGTGATGATGCTTTGGGGGAAAAAGACTTGTTTTTATGGAAAATGCTCTCGGTGTGCCATGGGTAACCCCATGGGAGACCTCACTGGGCTCATTCCCCTGCTCTGCTCCCCTCCATCCCTGGAGCTTTCCAGTACAGGGATGGGGCTGAGCAGAGGGAGTATCCTGAGCCACTGAAGTTGTGACTCAGCTTCCCAGGTGCTCTTTAATCTCTTTGTGTGGGTTATCAGCTGGAGCTGCCAGCACAAAGGAAAAGTGCTGCTGATCCCCACCCAGGTGTGCAGCCTCGTGGCCTGAGCCGTGCACGTGGCACCCTGGTTCCCAGCTCCGTCATAGAACCATGGAATGGTTTGGGTTGGAAGGGACCTCAAAGCTCATCCATCTCCAACCAGGGACCCCTTCCACTAGAGCAGCTTGCTCCAAGCCCCTGTGTCCAACCTGGCCTTGAACACTGCCAGGGATGGGGCAGCCACAGCTTCTCTGGGCACCCTGTGCCAGCGCCTCAGCACCCTCACAGGGAAGAGCTTCTGCCTAAGAGCTCATCTCAGTCTCCCCTCGGGCAGGTTCAAGCCATTCCCCTTGGCCTGTCCCTACATCCCTTATCCCAAGCCCCTCTCCAGCTTTCCTGTAGCCCCTTCAGGCACTGGAGCTGCTCTCAGGTCTCCCCTTCAGGAGCCTTCTCTTCTCCAGGCTGCCCCAGCCCAGCTCTCTCAGCCTGGCTCCAGAGCAGAGCTGCTCCAGCCCTCGCAGCATCTCCATGGCCTCCTCTGGCCTCCCTCCAACAGCTCCACGTCCCTCTTGTGCTGTTGTTCCCCAGAGCATCACCCCCTGGGCAGTCACCCGCCTCCTTCCCCAGGCTTGATGCAGCCCCACGGCTGCTGGCTCCTTCCGGCATCCATCACCTTTGTCCGGTGGCTCCGCATCCCTTGGTGCTGCTCGGGAGGAGCGGGGCCGGGCTCCTGGGTTCTGGAGCAGGTAAACAGGGAGGAATGTGCGGCGGCAGCGCGTGGGGCTGGCGTGTTCCCAGGTGACTCACGGGCACACCCCGCACGCATCCCGCTCCGGCTTGGACGCCGCTGGAATGAATCCTTGTGGAAAGCTGCCGGGACCTGCTGGGGCTGCGGCCAACGGAACGGTGTCAGGTGAAGGAAATGACCCAGCCGCTGGCTCTGGGGGGGTGACCCCCCCCGGGATGGTGTTAGTCAGTGCTTCACCCTCAGTAACATGGATGCGCAGAGAAGGCCTCTGCAGCAGCAGCACTGTGGCCGGGGAGGAGGGCCCCTGCATCCCACTGCACCCCATCCTGCGCCATGCACCAGGGCTCTGTCCAGGTGGGGATCCCTGTTTTCCCAACCTGCCAAGCAGGTACTGATGTGCAGCGCCTGGCTCAGTGGGGTGGCCTGGATGGTGCTGGTTGTGCGGAGGATGCAGCTCCAGCCACAGGATTTGAGAGCCACCGAAGGGTGCAGGCAGGGATGCTCCTCTTGGGAGGGTTATTTAAAAGGCACAAGCCATGGTGACAAGCTGGCTTTAAAGCAGACCAGTGCTTGAGGTCTTGCACGACCTCAATCTCCCTGGCTCCAGGCTGGAGCTTTCAGAGAGATCCTGAGCACGCTGGGTCCCCCCAGTCCCACTTTTCCCCCTCCTGACACATGCAGCCGCAGTGGTGACATCCCAACCCTTTCCCCTTACCCCTCACCGCACTAAATGCCACATCACCACGCAGGAGGCAGCAGCAGGATTGCAGCATCCCCACGCAGGAAAGCAGCGGGTTGCGGGGAGTCATCGGGGCTGTCCCATGGGCACAGCCCTGCTCTGGGAACCCAGAGCTCTGCATTGCAACACCAAGCATTGCCCAGACCCGCAGCGTGTCCGGGAAGTGATGGCAGAGGGAAGTGGTGGCTTGGGGTGACCCCAGCCCCAACACTGCAGGGAGGGCACCCCAAATCCGGGCTCACGCTGGGCTGCAGGAGCTTGGAGCAGCCCCAACCTCTCCGCGTGCTGTGCAATGCCGGGCTCTTTAAAGGCAGGCAAACAGCAGTGATATAAAACCCCCCCCACGTTCGAAACGGTCCCGCCAGCTCCTACATGATGCTCTGCACGAGGCCCAATCCTCATGGGGACCCTGTGCCGGAGCGAAGGCCCGCATGGGACACGCTGCTGCTGCCGGGAAGCTCCGTGTCACCGTGACTCTGCGGCTGGTGATGGCTGTGACACCGTCCCCTCCGCTCCCAGCGCCCCGGGGAGCCGAACCTCGTTTATGTCAGCTGGGGAAACTGAGGCAGGGAGGGGTGGCGGGGGCAGAGGGTAAAAGCGGCCTCTTTGCTGCCCCTGTCCCGAGCACGGCCGGGCAGTGGCAGCCCCCGTTCTCCCCCTACCCCAGGGGAAACCAGAGCCGAGCCGAGCCGCAGCGCGGAGCAGCCCCGGCCCCGAGGCTGCCGCTGGGATCGAGCGGCTCCGGCTCCCGGCCGCGGGGCACGGGGCGGTCTCGCAGCTTCTCCTTTAATGAACTCGGGAGGAATCAGGGAGAGCAGCCGGGGAGCGGAGCGGAGCGAGCCCAGCCCCGCCGGCCCGGACGGCGCTTTATAACCCGCGGGGCGGGCGGCGGGGCCGGTCCGGGCAGCGGGGGCTGAGCCGGGGCCCAGGTGAGCGCGGCCGGGGCCGGGCCGGAGGCGGGGGAGGGCCGAGCTGCGGCGGGGGCCGGGCCGGGGTCCCGGGGAGGGGGGGGGGGGGTCTCGCAGTTCGCGCTGTCTCCGCCGCAGCCGCCGCGCCCCTCACCGATGTCCCAGGCCAGCGCCCACCGGCAGAGCCGCCCGGAGCCCCGCCGAGCAGAGCCGGGACCGCAGCCAGGTACCGGGGTGCTGCTGGGGAGCCGGGGGGGGGGGCCGGGGGTGTGCGGGGCTTCGGAGGGGTGCACGGCGTCGGGGGCTCTGTGTGCGCCCAACGGGGACGTGCAAGGCTGCGGGGGTCCTGGTGTGTGCGCGACACGAGAGGGGGTCCCTATCCCTATGTGCAGGGCTGGGGGGGGTCACTGTGTGTGTGCGGGTTTGGGGGTCCCTATGTGCAGGGCTGGGGGGGTCACTGTGTGTGTGCGAGTTTGGGGGTCCCTATGTGCAGGGCTGGGGGGGGTCACTGTGTGTGTGCGGGTTTGGGGGTCCCTATGTGCAGGGCTGGGGGGGTCACTGTGTGTGTGCGGGTTTGGGGGTCCCTGTGCAAGCTGCAGGGCTGGGGGGGGGTCAATTTGTATGTGAGGGTTTGGGGGGTCTCTGTGCAAGCTGCAGGTCTGGGGGGGGTCACTTTGTATGTGTGGGTTTGGGGGTCCCTATGTGCAGGGCTGGGGGGGGGTCACTGCGTGTGTGTGGGTTTGGGGGTCCCTATGTGCAGGGCTGGGGGGTGTCACTGTGTGTGTGCGGGTTTGGGGGTCCCTGTACAAGCTGCAGGGCTGGGGGGGGTCACTTTGTATGTGAGGGTTTGGGGGTCCCTGTGCAAGCTGCAGGGCTGGGGGTGCCCCGCGGAGGGCGCATTCCTGGACACAGTGCGTATACATGGAAAGGGGGGGTCCCCTTGTGTGTGTGGTTGTGGGTGGACAACATGGGAGCGGGGGGATGTAAAGCACAGCTCGGGGGGGGATTTATATGGTGGAGTATGTGAGTGGTTGGGGGGGGAGCATTGAAGGGGGTGCCTTAGTATGTGTGTGAGCGTGCACGTGTGCACTGAGCGTGCGGACACGGCGGATGCGGGTGAGCCCCCCGGGAGCTGCAGCACGAACTTTTCATCAGCTGCTGTCGCTGGGCCAAGTGAGGGGCACTGAAGGGGTTAAACCCCCCCCTGAGGGCGGTGTGAGGGGCTGGGGGGGCCCTTCCCCAGCTGCAGCAACTCCTCGGGGTTCTGCGGTGGGATGCAGGATCAGGCCATGGAGAAGGGAATGGAAAAAAGTTTGGGAATCGTCACTTTTACCGTGGGGAAAGCTGAGCCCTTTGATTGTGGTGGCTCTGCTGTGGTTCTAAGGACTTGTGCTGGGGTCCCGCAACGGTCCTCACCATGGTTCACATGTGGAAACTGCATTAAGATGTGAAAGAAAAGAAATGCCAGTGCGGGAGGGTGATGGGGAGAGGTGGGAGCCCCCATTGTGCTGTCGGACCAGATGCAAGGGACCAAACCCCCTGAGCAGGCAGGAGCTGTGCTTCGGGAGCCCCGGGCACGCTGATGCGAGGGAGCTGAGCACGGCTGGATCTCCCCTTGTTGGCTTTGGCCTGGAGCGTGGCTGGGCCCAAGTATTGGAGAATACATCCTCTTGTTCTCTTCCCCCAGCTTTTCCAGCTGGATGCTGCGGGCTCTGCTTCCCGGCTGCACTCTTACGCTGCTTTGTGCTGCAGCCGCAGGGGCCGTGTGGAGCTCAGTGCTCTGGATTCCCTTCCATTCCCTTTCCTCTCCAGGTGGGAAACTGCACTGTTAACACATGGATCTAGCGCAGAAAAGCCTTTGCACGGGAGTTTGTCCCCAGCCTGGGTTAAGGAGGAGCCCTGCGTGAGACCAAGTGTGGGTTGCTTTAAAAAGTATCTTTAAAATGTGTCCAAACTAGGCTGAAACCACGATAAATGCATCCAAAGAAATGGCCTCGCTGCTGTTCCGTGGTGCCAGCGGCTGGATGTGCACAGTGTGTGCAGATAGCATCCAATATGATGCCCAATTCGGTGTGCCCATGGTGGGGGGGTCACCTCCATCCTCATCCAGCCATCCCTGGAGGGCAGCGTGGAGCTGGGGTGAGTGAAACTGAGCAGAGCAGCACCAAGTTTGCCTCCTTTAGACCCACATTTAGCCCTGTCTCCAGGACACCCTCAGCTTCCATCTGCCCATGCTCCAGGGACCAGGTTCCACGCTTGAGGGACCATCCTTGTCATGTCTCGGAGAGCGCTTTCCAGTTGCACATCCTGAGCTTTGAATCCTTGCTCCTGTTGCTTCCCTCTTCCTTTCTTTTCTGTTTCTGGGGAGCAATGAATGGACCGGTCCAAGCTGTCCTTCGTGCTTGTTTGGCCTCGTGACGTCTCGGTGCAGCCACTGCCATTTGGGCAGTGTCCAGGGGCTCTGTCACGCACACGGAGCCTGGGAATTTGTGCTCTGCTCCCTGGCTGATGCTTTGCAGATGAGACCAGGGAGTTCTGCACCACCAAACCCGTGACAGAAACATGGAGATGGAGGTGCTGTGCGGCTTGGCTCAGGCTGGCGCGTCTTGGGCAGGTCAGGTTGGCATTCCTGGGCTTGCTCCCATTTCCCAGCCTGAGATGAAGCCCGTTTCTTGGAGTTTATTCCTTGGCATCAATCTGGAGATGGGCCCGGTGCCATCGCAGCCTCCTCCCACCCCACAGGGACGGGCGCATCGGGCTTGAAATAGCCACAGGTAGTTTGCAGAGCAGCCTGGGGAGAAGAGGCCATTGCCCCCATGGAGTACGTGGGCTCTAATTATTACCCTTTCTGAGGAATTAACAGGAGAAAAACAGCCCTTTGGCTGATGGGATTATTTTTGTCCTTCCCTCCTTGGGGAGAAAGAGGAGGAGGACCAGGGACAGCAGGAGAGCGGCTTTCCATAGGGGAAGCAACCCCATGGAGAGATGCTTGAGGCAAATCCCATCTTCAGAAGGAAAACCTTTCTCCTGGTGTTTGCCTCCTGATTCCCCATCCCAGCAGGACACTGGCTGCATCCCTGCTCCATTTGGGCAGGAACGGGATGCTCGCACACACTTCTTGAATTCTTTCTGCTGGGGCCTGACTGCCTGCATGAGGGTGCTGAGCACCCATGGGTGCCCTGGCCACCGCAGGCCGGCCAGGAGTCAGTACCACATCACTTAGGTACCCATTACCAGCCTCTGCGAGGGAGGTGGCAGCAAACAGAACCCTCTCCAGGGTCAGCATAAAAGGGTCTTTGCTTGTGCATGCACTGATTTAAATGCAGACATCCGCGAAGCACAGCAGAGCCAAACTAAAAAAGCCCTCAAAGAAACAGTATACATTTATCTTTTTAACCCCAAATGAAGCCCTTTATTTTTTGCTCAAAAAGCTGAATTTCTGTTTGTCTTTCACAGTTTCTTGCCTGCTCAGGGAAATGCTTTGGGGTTTTGGTCTTTCCTTTGAACACCACCACCAGGACTCGAGGTAAACACAGCCCAGCAGATTGCTGGTGCTTCAGCTGCTCCTGGTTCCCAGCGAGCGGCAGAGCCCTGTGGGGCTGTGCCGCTCCCGCTCCAGCTCCCGATTGAATTTCCTTGGGAAGCGCCCGTTCGAGTCTGTTCCTTGCAGAAACTCGAGCTCTCCGCTGGGCGTTTGCTGTAGTTCCTCTGGTTGTTTTGATTCCCAGAGTTCCGCCTCGCTCAGCCGAGCTTCCCATGGGATGGGCACGGGGTTTGGTGCGGGATGGACCCACCTCAGTCCCTCCCGGTGCTGGCAGCTCCTTCCCGTTTCCTCCCTTCCCCAGGTGCTGGGCTTGGGTTGGACCAGTGGGAATGAGCTATGACATGGCAGGAGGGACGGGGTTATCGGGGTTGGTTTGCCCCAAATTCCAACCTTCAGGCTTTGTCCACTTGGACCGTGGGCCTGGGTCCATGCTTTCTCCATCTCTGATCTTCAGCCATGCTTTGGCAGCCTCCTTGCACTCGGTGTTTGGCTTGGAGGGAAGGTTTCCCTTCGGGTGCCGTCCCGCTGTCTGCATCAGTGCATCCCTGCATCAGGGAGCAGATAGTAGCTTCAGGAAGCGCTTTCACCCCAGTCCATCCTCTTTTTGGGGTTCCCATGCATGCACAGGAGGCTCCCAGTGGCTCCTTTCCCCAGTGCAGGCAGCCATGCCCAGGGCAGGGTGATGCTCACCTGGTTTGGCCACTTTCAGTGCCAGTTCTGCAGCATATTCCCCACAGCAGCTTTGCCTTCACATGGTGAGGAAGAGGAAGCTGGACAACGAGCTGCCTCCATCCGTTCCACCCAAACGGCTTCACTGTTGGCTGCTTTCCTTCAGCAAGCAGGCGTGCTGCTGCTTTCTCACCATCCAGGCCATGCTCAGCACCTCCAAAGCCTCTCTGGGGTCTCTCAAACCCCAAGTAGGAAGTTAAGCACCAGAACTGCAAAGCTTTGGGCTCCATCCCCATAGAACGTTGCTTTGGGCAGACTCCTTTTGAGTGCTTCCTCAATGGGATGAATGGCTCCACAAGTGCAAGGTCCTACACCTGGGTCGGAGCAATCCCAGGCACAGCTACAGGTTGGGCAAAGAAGAGATTCAGAGCAGCCTGAGGAGAAGGACTTGGGGGTGTTGATTTATGAGAAAATGAACATGAGCCGGCTTCAGTGTGTGCTTGCAGCCCAGAAACCAACCCTATCCTGGGCTGCATCAAAAGGAGCGTGACCAGCAGGTTGAAGGAGGTGATCCTGCCCCTCTGCTCTGCTCTGGTGAGACCTCACCTGGAGCGTTGTGTGCAGTTCTGGTGTCCTCAACATAAAAAGGACATGGAACTGTTGAAACAAGTCCAGAGGAGGCCACGAGGATGAGCAGGGACTGGAGCACCTCCTGTATGGAGCCAGGCTGAGGAAGTTGGGGCTGTTCAGCCTGGAGAAGAGAAGCTGAGTGGAGACCTCAGAGCAGCTTCCAGTGTCTGAAGGGGGCCTATAGGGATGCTGGGGAGGGACTCTTCATTAGGGACTGCAGTGACAGGACAAGGGGTAACAGGTTCAAACTGAAACAGGGGAAGTTTAGATTGGATCTAAGGAGGAAATTCTTTCCTGTTGGGATGGTGAGGCACTGGAATGGGTTGCCCAGGGAGGTTGTGAATGCTCCATCCCTGGTGGTGTTCAAGACCAGGTTGAACGAG